ATCATCCCCAAACTTGTCAGACCATATTTTGCACAAATACTCGAGAAACAACATGTAGTGAGTACTTGCACTCCCTTTGTTCCATGACCCAATAGGGCAAGCAGTTGATTGGTACCAGTTTAAAGAGTCCCGTCCAAGTTCCTCACAGTGTGGGCTAATTCGTTTTTCTTTGCAAAAGCGTTTGTACTCTGCATTCAGGATTTCAAATTTGTCATCCATTGACCCAACCTCAAGATCCACGTTTTCCAAGATTGAGACTAGAGCGCTGGCAACATAATGCTTGGCAACACCTAGGTGAAAATTGTGCCAGAGGTCTGTCTTGAAGAATTGCCACCTGTTCTCCTCTAGCAATGGAACACCTTCCAGTATAGCAGGCATTCCATCACATGCATCTTGTTGACCCAGCGTTCCTTCCCAAAGAGGCTTACCCGAGGTGTCTTCAAATGGGATAGCAGAGATATTCTGGGATGGATTGGACTCACGACCAGCACAGCACATCCAACAAATTCCCTCACAAGGTTTCTTTGATGCTGCTTTCTTTGGGACATTCCCAAACGTATGATTCATTCTTCCCAGCTTAGCAAGAGCTGGGAGGTCTCCCTTTGTCCCCAAATGACAGCACCGAACCTGAATCAGCCCGTCCGTACTGCTAACACCGTTCAACAATAGGTCCTCCATGTCCCTGGCATAGACACCAACCAAACTATGGAGGATCTCCGGGTCCTTCTTGAAGAACTTTCGCAGCATGCAGCTGAAAAGAAAATTTGTTGTCCAAGTATGGCCACAAAAATTGAGACCAAACCCATTTCTTTTCAAAGGTAGCTTATCCTTCGATTTCTTGAGAAATGCCCTCGTTCCACGGCCTAATGCCCCATGAGTGCTCAACAGCCAAAACGCTTGTTTTTTATGGCCCCGACCCTCGTCGGAATGACTATAGACTGGGATAACCCATTTCAGGTCTACTGTACCAGCATCCCTCATAGCGAAGATTTGGTGTTCCGGGTCTATGGCTTCATAGCGTAGCCAGAACTCTTGTAGCTTCACTTGCATACTTTGTAGATCCGCACAAGCACACAACTGTTGCGCCAAACGTCCAGAATCCAAAAGATATTTGACCCATGTGGAAAACTTGATGTATGGCCAATTCTTGAAACGCTTTGTGTCAGAGAGGTCAACCTTGTTAATCTCAACTGGGCATGATAACTCGTGCTTCACCAACACATCATGCCCCCGTTGTTCTGCATCATTGGGCCTAACCGCTGCAAACTCCCGTAAAGCCTCGCTAGCTTGAGGGTTCTCAGAAACTTCGGCTGCAGCCAGCTCAACAACATGGCACATAGGTTCCTCAGCGAACAAGCGCAGGTGTGTGGAAGAAGTTGGTGGGATGATGGAACATCCCAGGGGTCAGGGGTGGATGAGTGAAGTCAAAGTGTTGGACACCTGCCACATGTACAAAAGTTAAACCCTGCACTTTTACAAGAATACTTTTTTCCTCTTTGCGCGCGCCCCAAAATTGTCAGATTTAATTTGCGATTGCAATCAGCCGACAGCTCTAAATTGATCAGCTCTGCAACCCACCACATAAAGGTAAAACGGAGGCTTGGGAGGTGTAGCCCGATTAAGAGCCCCTTCCCCTCCTGATTCCGGTTTGTTCCGGCACCCCACATGAGAACTGAACAAAGCTATGCATGCAGCCTCCAGCATTTGAATAGTGTCAGCACTTTGAGACACTGAAATCAGCCACATCCTGTCATACCCCTTTCCAATGTAATCAGCATATCTTTTGATGGGGTTGGATGTGACTCCCAACTTAAAAACGCACACCCGGACCCCAACTGTTTCCCTAAATGCCGTAATTTGTGCCCTGGCATGTGCTAAGAGTTTGCCACATGAAGACACAGCACGGGTAGGCCGAACACAATGGTTCAAAAGACCATATGGTCGAACCAACTGCCAGTCAAAAGAAGATTCCGAATCAAATGTCTCACCCAGCTCACTTAGCAAAGCAGCAACTGCATCACCACTGTCCTCAGATACAGCCGGGGAGAGGCATGGAGAGATATCCTGAGAAAGAACAAAGTTTGGAACCCAAAACACATTCCACCCAAATCACATTGAGTCCTAACTGATTTATGGTAAAGTATTGAACTTCCATGTTGGATGGTTTGAAGTGGAAAGCAAACAACCATGGTCTTAAAGTTATTTGTGTTCAATGCTGGTTTCCATCCACATGTATATGCATATAAAGAAAAACTACATCTCTATATATGCACACATAAAGGCATACTGTTCCTGCATGCCATGGCGCTAGATGGTGCTTCGGCAGGGGATCAGGACTCGCAACGGTAGCACGGTCTGGTGATGGGTCCATTGATCTAGTGAAATATTCCATGTGCGGGTCCACATCATCGTCAATCAAATTGCGTTCTTCACTTGCTGCACTACACCTAAGATACCCATCAAAATCATCACCGAATCCAGTGTAGGGTTTGACACTCAAACTAAACCCCAGTTTGACCCACTGGCTGGCTTTGAAACAAGACACTTCACAGCTTTTGGACAAGGCCCTTCAGCAGGCTGCATAGATTCGGCTGGTCGCTTTGAAGATGAGGCATTGAGAAGCTCTCCGAACCAATCATCCATGTTGGCAGTGGCTGGCAAAGGTATTACTTTAGTTGATTACGATTTCATAACACATATATAATTCTTAGACAGGTCAGAGGTGAACTTATTGTTTTATTTATCAAATGAGGTAGGCGTGGAATACAACCCTTTTTATCTCAGAAACAGGTTTCAGAAAACATATGGAGACTTTGTTGCATGCTTTCTTTCATAGGTCGAATTTTATGTTGAACCAATGGCTGAAAAATCATAGAAGTAGCAGCTATGGCTTTGGCTCAATAATTCACCTTGATCAAGTTGTTGAAGTGTCACACTCTATGCAGGAGATCTTTGAGGAAGAGACGCCTCGAGCAGCAAAGTTGGCAAGATTTTCCAGGACTCGTCCGGGTCCATTGTGGCGAGCACCTGGCATGAATTCAATGGCCACTGGTTTTACATGCATTATATAATTGAAATTACATCAGCTGAGACCTTTTTTTTTCTCACCGGTGTTCGATCTTCAGATTGTCCATGGAATCCGTATGTTGGATCCATGATCGCACGTGCGAAGCACATGATGTCCAAACCCCATTGAGTGAAAACATGATGCCATTGAGCCTCAGAATGAGGCCATCTTTCAACTAAGAAAAGTCCTTTCAAATTAAAAGGTCACTAGGATTCATAGCACAGCACACCAGCAACCATCACGGGCCACTGGGAGGCTGCCCCCCGACTCAAGCCCTCAGGATCACTCGTCATTCTTCGTCACCATCTTCAGAAGGTTCCTGAGCGAGAATGGGGCCAGCAAGGGAAGCATAAGGGATCAGGAAATCTTAGTTCTATCAACTGTTGGGGCATTGGGGTGCATTGGCCAAGGAAATTGAAATGATGTTGAAAAAACACTGGATCACTGGTTTGGGAAAACATTCAAAGTGCGGCGAAAGTCTTTGCAGTAGATTCAGCCGTGGTAACCTTTGCACACGCTTTCTGGGAGCGCTTGATCTGTTCCTCGACCAGGCCCTTCAACCTAAGTTGTATCAGCTGGATCAATGGGCCATCATTTTGTTCACATGAACCCTTATGGATACAGTATCTATATTTGATAGGATCCTTCCAAACACATAAACATATATCATATAGCAGTCAATTGAAATCCCACATCAATTTAACATCAACTGTTTGAGATATTTTGAGATGGGCTACCTCTCGATCTCGGGTTGTTTCAATTTCCCAGTCTGGAGGTCATTGACTTCGGCCTTTGTCAACTGCACCGCTTCGAACTGCTCTTCAAGGATTGCCACGGCACCTTCTATGGTCTTCTGGGACCTAAGGGCCGGATGATTTGTTTTCTCTTATTTGTAAGGCCAGTGCAACTGTGGAGGCCATCATTTCATAGTGAATAGAATAGTGGACACAGGTTGTTTCAGAGAAAGTGATTTTGAATCTAAGTCAGCCACTTGTTGACTCTGTCACGGTGTGGGCTAGACTCATCTTGTTTCATCGCTTCATCCAACTTGCCAGACAGCTCATTCAACTTATTGACTTTGGTCAGCATGGCATCACCAAACTTCTTCAAAGATTGGTATTCCTGCATGGGTGCATTCAGGAAATCCACAAAAAATATATTCTAAAATAGTCTTGCCGTTTTAAACCAATAGGTCAAGGAATGGGTATGACAGGGTATGATATGAACATTCACTCCTGCGCCCCATCGTTGGCTTCGTCAGCAGTGTCGGGTTCCGACTCTTCTGGAGCCTGCTCAGGAGCCTGCTTACCCTTGCGCTTCTTTGGGTCCAAGGCCTGGAACTTGACCTTTTTTTGGATCTCCTGTCAGATTCAGATGGTTCAGCACTAAGTCATTGAAAGGTACCATACACTAACATGTACAAAGTCTTTCGTATTCCATCTTTGTCCAAATGTGTTTCAATCTACTGCCCAACAGAAGTTTGCAAGTGCATGTGCATGCATGCAGCCCAATACACACAACAGTGGAATAAGATAGAGTCATACAATTTCATTTTAGCAATAGGTCCAGTTGCCTTTTCACAGCTATACCATTCAGATTAAACTTTGACTCTTTTAATCAATGGGTGAATGGAAGGAACCACCATTCCCAGATGTCCCCAGTCCTTGCTGGAAGTCTTGATCTCTCGCTCCATGTCCTCGTCCAAGTCCGAGTCGCCCTCCTCCACGTCAACGTGGTACTTGTTGATCTTCCGGTTGTACTTGTCCTTCCTGACCCCGTGTATTCAGAGTAAAGGCTATTAAAGGGTCATGAATAATGAGCATGGGAAACTCCTTGGAATTCAGGTTATATATGTACATGTCAGGCATACCTTATTTGGTCAACCGCCTGGTTTTCACAGCACTTCTCATGCTTTGTGTATTTGAGATTAGGGATGTCAGAGTTTGCATTCTATGCCAAGACTCCGGACCAGAGACTCATTCCCTTTTTTTTCGCAGAACTTCACCACGTCTTTGATGTATTGCCTCAGTGATGAAAATAAATTCCATTTCAGTTTAAGCATGCAGGGCTAGCCTTATAGGAGTATAGGAGGGCAAAATCAACCAGCAGGTTTAACTTGTGACAGCCACATTCCCTTCAATAGCTTCAACTCAGCAATTTCAAAGACCATTGAAGTCAACTTTGATTCAAAAGTGGAAGCATGATCCTTTCTAGTGATCATTATATTGCAATCTTTTTAAAGAAACCAGGGTACTTTGACCAACCCAGCGTTGTCCTCATCATCTCCTCCGTGAGCCAACGTCTCTTCTTCGTTCGGGTGCTCTTGTTCAGCCTTTCACTTTGCCGCACCAGACGTGTCAGGAATGCATCCTGCCAAATTTCAGCGAGCAGCTAGATTGGAGAAAGAAGCGTGGGCCCTAGACATCTTCAGGGTTCTTCAGGTATGCATATTCTTCAAAAGTATTCAAACGTATGATCAGTTTCTAGGGGATATCAGAGTCATTACAATACATTAATTATTGTCCATACCATTCAAGAACTGATCTTGGAAATCAAATGCAAGACAGAAGAATCCAATACTGTTATCAAAATAACAAGTACACCTTTAGAGCATTGCATGGAAGATTGAACCAGTCCTTGTTCCATCCACTGTTTTCCAATTCATCTCGTAGCTTCATCCTCTCAACACCCCCTTTTGCCCATCTTTCATGTACATCATTCGGCACATGGCACCTTCCTGACGGCTTTTTTTCACACAAGCGCCTCAACCGGTTGTTTTTGGCAGCTTCAGTGGGTTCCTTGTCTGACCCCTCGCAACCCTTGTCACCATCTTCCGACTCCCCCGAGGCATCAGCATCGGAAGAACCTTCCGAGGCTGTCACTGGGGAGGGAGCACGCCTTTTGGGATTTGAGGGTGTCTTCATTGGTGTCTTCACTGAAGCCCGGGATGAATCAGATCCCTTGGTGGCAGCATCCAACTTCTTCTGCATAGCTGCGAGCTGGGACATGAGATCTTTGTTGACCTGCAAGCACATACCATATTCTTAAAATATAAATGGTCATGGCCCAGTGTTTGGCTAACAGATATCTTGCTCCTTACTGTATCATGTGGTTTGCATGAGGCTTTAAAAACACAAATGGTTGAATCAACTGTACTGTCATCAAAACAGGTAATATCAGGTAATGCCAATGATAATTGGGACTAGGCTTTAATGCCTAGTAGGAGTAGGACTGGTACAAATCCCACGAAGTTGCTTTGGGCCCCAATGATTCAACCCACTCCATCATACAATGACCGGTGTTTAATGAATTTTCCCTAGGCATGTACATGTGGCCATGGTAAACCTATATGCCGGGTTAATTGTAAACCGTTTTGAATCCTAGCAGGGAATGTTTCCCAACCATGAACTTTAGAACTACACAGGGTCCAAAACCGAAGTTTTAAATTGAAGGCAGCCCTCTATGGCAAAAGAAACCGGGTTGAGTTCCCAAGACATACCTTTTCCACCGGAACCCACTCCCAAAAGCAGTGTTTGAAGGGGACAGGCACCAGAATTGTTGTTGGGTTCCTGCATAATGTTTTTTTTAATGTACTAAGCATCAAATTATCAACCCTACAATTACACAGTAGTGTTCAGAATATCTGTATTTCCCCGACAAAAGGAGTTGTTTTACCACAAGATAGTTGCTATTTAGGCCACAACCCAACCATAGAGCTCCACCACCAACAGCCTTGGCAAGATCATCTGCAGGTGTCGATGCATCCAAAGGAGAAGACTTGGAACGGTGGCGCTTGGAAGGCTGGGAAGGACCGGCCGGGGCCGATGACGGTGCTGGAACAGTCTTCTTAGCAACAGGGGCCACATGGGTTTGACTCTTGCTCTTAGATGCAACATCACGGTCCTTTGAACGTGCATCATTCTTCGGGGGATTGGTCTTCTTGAGATTCTTTGGGTCCATCGCAGATTTCTTTCTGGCAGCTGCCAACTCCGCTTCAGTTGCCTTATTGGCTAATGGTTTGAGAAATCACTCAGGAAGGGGCAAAACAAAAATGCAAGTTTCTAACACCACTCGATTTGATTAAAATATTTATCACACATGTTGTTCACTGGCCACATACCTTTGTGGAACATTTACCCCACAACATCTTCGGAGTACTAGCTGATGCCAATCTTTGTTCATACCAAGCTGCTGGTTGGGTTTCTTCATCAACTTCACCCTGGTGACACATGTGGCTGACAGGTTTCATATAATTGGGGCACATCCCAAGAAAACAACGGTTGCATATCAAATTTACACCTGGCCTCAGCATCCCCATCTTCAGCATTCTGTTGCTTCAGTGAGGCAATTGCCTTTTCATATTCCTACCATGGAACATAGGGAAATCAAATCGGGATTGGATACCAACCATTGGAAATAATAACATATTGTAACCAGAAACTGACACAAGACGGAACAAAGTGTCCTCGACTTTCTTCTGAAGTTCTTCTGGGTCCATGTGCTCTCTTTTGACTTTCATGAGACCACGGTGACCATTCTGAAGCTCAGAACAACTATGTCTCTTTGATGGTAGCTTGCGAGGGGGAGCAGACTTCTCCCTAGACCCCATGGCAGGCCGATGCAACAGCCTTCAACAGCTCACCCAAGGCTGTTCTGCGATTGGATCTCAAAGGGCTGTGGAACAAATCCCACTACAAGATGGTAAAAGAAATGTTCTTATGAAGAAATATGTTGTAACCACCAAACACCAACTTATTTGAAAATGGTTATGCTCAATTTCTACCAAAACATCACAATGTTTGGCAAAAATGTCAATGTTGGGGTATATACAATGTACGGGAAATGTACGTAAAAAGTACGGGTTTTCATACGGAAAAATCCGTCCTTTTAGCGCATATTTCCGGCTTTTGTACGGTGTACGGGTTTGTACGGGGTACTGTACGTATTTAGTACGTACAGAGTACGTAATCTGTCAATATCATAATTTCAGTATGGTTTTGTAATTGTTGAATGAGACATGTGTTAGGATAACTACTGACAAACCCTTGAAATACCCAATCAAAGTAAAACCATCCTACTTTCCCAGGTCCCAGGTCTACCCAGACAGAAACATTTCCTTTTCTGCAACAATTGGTCCCTGACCCTGGCTGTTTGCCAGTCATCATGCCAGGAGGCATTTGAATTATCATGAATTGTAATATGGGTCTTTGAAATCTAAGGAAGGAATGTGGCCAATGCCACATGTTTGTTGCTAGAAATTGCGTCACCTCCATATGATATGGTCACATATGGTCACAACGCTTCAGGGAAGGAATCTCGCCATTCCCCAATGTTGAGGTCACGATTTCCCCGAACATAAGCTAGGCAGGATACCATGTCAGCATCCTCCCAAACATCATCACCCCATGGCAGGCCATCAAAGAAATCCTTTGTTTCCATTTCGGCAAAAGAGGCAGGGATCTCTGGGGCCGGGGACTTGTTCTCCACAAGAAAGGGAAAAAGCTTCACCAAGCGAAGGCCAAAGTGTGGTGGATACGTCCTGGGCTCTCAACGATGGAAATTGAAATTAAGGGATGGAAATGGGGAAATCCATGTATGTTTATACAGTTGGCACTGGTGCATGCAGGCATGAAAAAATACTGGTTGGTAATTTGACCCATCATTCAACAACATATTTATTCGAAACAGTGTGGGGACCACCTGTTGCCTATCCTTTTTCATGCTTGCATTCAACATAGCTATGCCAAAACATATTGCATATCGTTGCATTCCTTTCCAAATAATGCTATGAAAACGAGAAAGAACCAAGAACCTGCCGCATAGTGATTGAAAACTAACAATTCAGCCCCCTACCCAGTAGCACGAAGGCTTGAGGTGCCCGAGTAAGATTTCTTGCCCTTCTTGTTGGTCTTCACTTTTGCACTCTTCACCCCAGTGCGACGGATTTCCTTTCGTTGATCCTTCGTTAGGGAGCCTCTATCCAAACCACCGATCTTCTTGGAATTTGACCAGCAGATATGTCGTTTAGGTGTGCATGACTTGTAATGACCCATCCACCATCGGCAGACATACACCTGCAAAGGTTTTTTGTCCCCACAAGATTCAGTTCCCAAAAGTTATGTAAGCCATCCAGTAAATTAAATATACTTTATCCGTTTTGGGGGGCTTGGATAGACAAACAATGTCTTTTGTTGACTCACCAGATCCCAGTGGGTTCAGCCCCAGACCACTAACACAAACAACAGACCTGCAATGGGTACTAGTAAATAATAGGGTTTGCTTTCCCCCAATAAAGTTGAACAGGTAATTCATGGTAATTTCATGATTATAGTTAATTCTGTTTGCACCCAGACCTTTGTGAAAGTCCGTAAGATGCGTCGTAGTCTGGGATGGTACCAAGCAAGGCTGCTGATGGGTTGCTCTACCATCCACGCAGCTCCCACCGCCTGCAAGGCCATCAAAAGGAGAGCCACCCTGAGCGAGCAGAAGCAGGCCGAAGGGAACCAGTTTTTTATGGGCCCTATACCCCCAACAATCTTGGTGGGAACAAACAGTTACGACAAATTTGGGTAAAACCCCAACTATTTACCACCCACTAAAACAGGTTAGCAGAATTACTGTATATCAAATATTATTTTCTGGTGAAACAATACAGGAAAACCTATGAACTGGGAAATCATAACGCCAAGCAAGAGTCCTGCTAGCAAGACAATTTCCCAGCCGAACATGACTGCGGGATTCATCTCCCAGTGGATTGATCAATGATCTCAGATGCGTACCAGCATTGATGGCAACGAAGCTGGAACATAATAGCCCAATGACGCAGAAGCTGTTGTCAAACTTCATGTTCAGAATGGCAGTGAGTGCCAAACTTAGATGTACAATTTGGAACAAGAGGGGTGCTTGGGCAAACAATGTTGTTGAGGCCATACCAGTGCTCCATTGGTTGGAACCGTAACATCAATGGATTGTTTTTGAAAAATTCCAGAAAACCATACCCACCAACATTGAAGCATAAACCAATGTTATGAACCAAACATCATTCCTTTCAAATGGGTCTTTTGGGGACAGAAAGGCAAGGATAACCAAGGAACCTTTTTCCCACCAACCCCGATTAGGCATTAAAAATCATATTTGCTAATTTCTTGGGGGCCATTCACCAGCACAAAACTGATTAACCGGTACTTAAATCTAAGGGGTTTCAATCCCTTGGTTGGTAAAATGGACCGACCAGGGCTGCCACATGTAGATCTTCAACTTCTGTTCATATCAGCACAAAGCACGCCAAACTAACCATAGCTAATCCCCATTGTTTAGGAACTACCCCAATCAAAAGAGACTATGAATCCAGGTGGCCAAAAGCCACTGTCCGTTGTCAAGTCCATAAAATTCTGCTTGTTTGGCATTGGGTCATGCAGTAATATATCCAACTTTGCCACCGAACGCCCTGAAAATGCCATAGTATCAGTGACCCAGCCACGTCCGGCAAACAGCTCCACGTAGTCAAAGGCCTGGCAAAGGCATACAAATGCACCCAGTTAGTATCTTCAAAACCATTAATTCCAGCGATGCATAACCCAAAGCTTCTAGATGCCATCACCCCAAGGCCTCTAGAGATTATATTTGTGGGTTTTACCAATTTCTTCAGGGCACTGATTCCTGGACCTACATGATGCAAAGAATTTCCCATATTATGATCCAAAATGACTCCATGTTGTTCATATCCATAACATAAAGTTGAAATGCAGTGGGTTGACTATCCTTGGGGTAATAGGTATTTGGTTCAAGCTTCCACTAATATACTTTTTTGATTTGCTTATTCTGACCCAGTGCGTAAGATGAAATATCTGGAACCTGTGGGGTAAGATTGAACCATTTGGTGACCTAAGCAAAGGCCCGCCCTTATACAACAATCAACTGCTCTTAAAGTCTTAAAGCTGGTTATCTTTATTGTCTAACCTAGCACAACCACAACTGTAAAAGCCTGAACAGCTGGTTTTTTATGCTAAGCCAGGGCCAGCTCTCCCACCACTAAGATGTTGCTACTTGGAGTGCGATCCTAGGTATTCCTTTTGTTATTCTTTATCCAGCTTCCAAATCCAGCCTCCTGAAAGACCTCCACATTGCTAGATAGGGAGAGGAGCACCGTCAATCCCAGCAGCACCTCCAAGTGGGGCTTAAATAGGGCTACTGGTTTCATGGGGGTGTCTTGACAAGCTGACCATGGCCCTGTACCAAAAGGCTGCTGAATGATATGGCATGGGATTTCCTTTCATGGATTGTAAGAACAGCAACAATTAATTGTATGTTCTTAATCTATATGGCACCCATGCTCATCCAAAAATGGCCCAACTAGATGGACCTTAGGAGCACCCAGACAGTGCATACTCTTCAGCACCCGATCCAGCTTGCAGGAGGCCATGTCACCGAGATGCACTTCGGCACAATGAACCACGTGGGGCCGCCAAAAGCTTGAGCAGGATGGTTGCCCATGATCATACATCAATATTTGAAATGTGGTTAATATATTATAATATATTATATATACCCATGGGTTTGACACAGAATGGTATCCCGTAATTGTCTTTGAAAAAAATCCATAGTGGGAAATAGCCCAAATGCCCAAATGCATATATATATTATACATGTATGCTGTATGCAATGAAGTGCATCCCCTCCCATGACTCATTTTGAATAGGTTTCAATAGAAGGGAAATGCTATATAGTTATAAACATCACTGGCTATTTAATTTTGCATCACTTTGGGTACCACATTTCGAGCAGCACCCAAGTAGCAAACATGCCCGTTTCACGTTTCGCTGAATGGTTTCCAAACTCCGAAAGGCACAGGCGGCGCTTCCACCCCAGCCCATGGACCATGCCTTTTCACACCCGAGGTCATTGACCTGAGCAATCAAAGCGGTTCGATGAGCAGGCCAGACCCACAATTGGGAAACAATTTGGGGCAATTTATTTACCACAGAATAACCATAAGATCAACCATTTGGATTCTGATGATAATTCAATAACATAAAAAAGTCAAACAGGTTTAGTTCCATCTAATTTGAATTTGGGATCATATGCACCCCCCCGTTGGGTTTGTGCTTGCATTGGAAGAAGCCACCATTTCATGAAGTTCCCCATTCAATGTTTTTTTGATCAAAATTGAGAACCAAGGGGGATTTGGTGTTGGGAAATCCCACAAACTCTACATTTTCCAGCGCTCACCTCCAGGCATTGTGATGACACCGTAGCTAGCAAGGACCCCATACCACACTGCTGTTCCATCACCATGCACACATCCCAAAGTCCCCCAAAATGGGATAAACGTGAATGAGATAGATGTATATATGTGGTATCAAAACCAAAGACACATAAATGTCATGAACTCAGAAACCTTCCAATTTGTTTTTGGGTACAGGCACGGGTCAGAATATACCCCTCAGCAGTGTGGTCAAAGGTCGGGAAATGATAGGTAAGCTAGCCAGCACTAAGTCAAACCAAGCCTGCATGATCACTCTAGGTGGCAGGATATTAGATAAATTTGCAGATGATCCTACTTGGGCAGTGGCCAGCCTTGAAATGTGTTCTAAAGCCATTGCCACAAAATGAAACCAGCGAAGTTTGTCCCAACCGGTCAAAAATGGCATCAGCACCAAGGGGCCCAGTCCATACATGCGGAAGAAAAAATCATTGAAGTATATTAAAGTCTAGGTCCTCAGAGACGGAAAAAACCATGTTGATATGGAAATAAATTTGGAAATAACAGTTTGGTAACCAGGGCCCCTCCATGGTTGCACCACATTGCACCTTGGCTGCTGCCAACTAGTGATCCATATCCCTAGGTCCTAGGCCATCGGTTCATTTCAGAACCCCAGTCTTGCGAAGCTGCTCTACATAACCATCAGCAGCAGCAGATGCTTCCTCAAAGACGTTGGACTCATTGATGTCCTTGCTGGCCCACTCCATGGTAGCGAATGTCCAGAAGTAGTCCTGGGCGAATATGGGATACATCTTATATCATTTAATATATCACGATTTCCTTCAGGCATTCAGTTTTTCCCTCAGAACTCATAAGTTCATTAAAGAAACAATCAATCACTCTGGCATCATAGCAAATCATTCAAGTGGTTGCCAACCAAATCAACCAGTAATAAGTTTGGGTAGTAGTGGTCAGGGACGTAGTTTATCACCGCATCGCATCATATCATTATCATCATTTCATGGCAAAAAAACATATCATATCATTATCATCATATCATTATCATCATATCATATCATTATCATAATTTCATCATATGAGCGTGGTTTGATAGTGGAATAAAAGCACATCAGCAGATGTGGGACCAGGAAATATATGAGCCTCAAAACCCAGTGCACAGTCCTCATGGGCGCTGTATGTGGTCAAGTGCGGCTTGATCCGAAGCTGGAAAGCATGGCGAAGGGCATCCCATCGGAGGGGGTCTCGGGTTGGTCTCCTGCGCTTGGCAAAGCACTTCAACTTCACCTCGTTCTTCTCAATCTTTCCGTTGTCCTTTTCCTTGTTATCTTCCTCCACCTCTTTCTTGGCCTTGTCCTTATCCTTCTTCTCGACCAGCTTTGCCTTCTTCTTGCCAGAAGCACTTGCCTTTGCCTTTGCCTTGGGAACCTTGGGGCTCTCAGTGCAACCACTGGGTTCACAGGCTTCCTCTTCAACAGGTTCAACTTCGCCCTTCCTCTTGTTGGCTCTCCTCTTTGGCAAAGCCACCCTGAGTTCATCTCCATCTTCGTGCCCATGGCCTTGATCATTGGCCTGCTCAGTCTCATCTTCCATGGGAGAAGCTTCTGCCATGGCCCCTGCCTTTGCCAAAGCTTTTGCCTTGGCCTTAGCCTTGGCAGATGCTTTGGCCTTGGCTTTGGCCTTGGCCTTGGGAGAAGCTTTTGCCTTCCCCTTGGCCTTCGCCTTGGCTGTAGCCTTCGGCCTGCCCCGTCGAACTTCAGCAGGCTTCTGCCCATCATCACATTCGTCTCCATCGGCCGTAGCCCTCTTCAGCCCCAACTGCATGCGACGGATGACCTTTGGAGAGAATCTAAGGGACAATGAGGAAAAGTATTGGGGGAAAGTGCATGTGAAAAGGCATAGGCAATTGAAGGCATACTGCTTGGGAATGTTAAGGGCAAATGTGCATACTATTCATGCGTTTCCCCACCCTTCCTCCTTTTTACTTACCATCTCTTCCACCGTCTTAGTTGGAAAGCAAAGCCACAGGTGGCTCACCATGCTCTAAGTTCGGCTCCTCTGGAATCTCAGCAGCCAAGCGGTCGGCCATCTCCTGCATGTCACTCTCAGGCATGACAAGGGTGTCCATGTTGTCATCACCCGGTGGGAGGCTTTCTTCAACCAGGATGGGCTTGGAAGTACTGAGAGATTGCAATGCTTTCCTCAGATTTGAAAGAAAACCCAAATTTCGTAGAACATAAACTTAGTGTAGGAATGTTTGGGTGTATGAGCTTTCAAAACAATTTCAATCAATCTGAACATATTAAAGAGCATTCTCATCTTATTTGAATCAGCTAGGGTCTTCGCAGATTGAAGGCGCTTCAGGTGAGACAGCTCCCGTTCTAGTTCTGCTAAATTTTGTGCATTCTTGGCTCGACTCTTCAAACTAGAGGAACTAGCAGAAATCTTGAGGTTTGCTGTGCTATGAGCCTTTCGGTAGCTGCCCCCCCCACCATTGTCCACGACCTTGGAACTGCATGAGCTGCGAAGATCTTTGCTCTTCACCGGGATCTCTTCCATGGGCAAAGGAAGTTTCTTGTCCTCTGCGATTTCCTTCTCCGTCTTCTCTTTCTCAACATTCTCTCCCAAACCCCCAGCGGCCACAGCAGCATCGGCAAGAAGATCAGGGACAAGAGATGAATCTTGACTGTTGAGGAACTCTCGGTACTGTGCCTTGTCCTTCTCATCCATGGCACTCTCCTCCTCCTCTGCAATCAAGAAATCGATGGATGCCTGGGAAGCTTCCACAATGCATCCTTCTTCTTCCGATGCATCTTGAATTGGGTCACAAGGGTCTTCAGAGGAAAGCTGGCTGAGAGTGGGCGGCGGTGATCCAGTGACAGCTTCATTGGTAGCTGGCACTGGCTCTGAGTCAGACATCTCATAAGGTGGTGTAGCACCATCATACGATCCATCATCATCATCTCCATCGTCACCTTCTTCTCCATCAGAGACATGAACTACCCCTGTAGCACCATCACCATCACCCAACATAGATACGCCACCAGAGTCAGCGGGACTCGAAGGCGATGCCTCCTCTTCGGCCTGCTCATTGTCATCAGCGTCCGGGTCCTGGCGTTTGGGTTCACTGGGTTGCCAACTAAGTGGCAGAATGGTGGTAGAGTTGTGCATGCTGAGTTACATCCACGGTTTATATACTGCCAATATTCACCCCAACAAAAATAGTTAAAGGTCCCATGACAGATAACCATACAGATTTATACTGCACCAGTCCTCACCAGTAAGGCAAGCCATCAAACGGCGAAAAGTGCGGGATCGGGACAATTGCCCCCGGGTACACTTGCGTTTGATCATCACACAAAATTTCTTGGCCCGCCATGCGTCCAGCTTGACTTGGCGCTTGCAGGGTTCACATGGGCCAAGCAATCGGAATAGGGCATCAATCCTAAGAGAACTGGTGATGTGAATCGGGGGGAGATAACATCATTAAATCACTAGAAAGGTTTTGTTCACTATCGTTGGCTATTAAGTTTCTAATGCGCCATTGAAATACGAATAGCAAGACACAGGAGGATTCATGTGGAATAATGGGGAAAGATCAGAGTCATGGAGTGTTATAGAACATATAAAACCATCAGCAATAGTTTGACCCTCTTAATATCACCAATATCCACAAAGAAAATGTTTATAAACATACACTTGAATCAAATCACCTAACAAGGCACTCAAGTTCCAAGGCAGGAACTGAACACATTCCAACCTCCTTGGTCTCTGGGTGTACGAGTCTGCGAAGCAATGGCGTCAGAACATCATCATGATATTCAGCACCCACAATGTTGATATCCAAGTTGCGGCCCTGAACGGAGTTCATGAACAATCCATCGGTTGCCCTAACTCGTTCCCTGATGGATGCAATCTGCTCCCACTCCTCCGAGATACCTTCAACATCTCTAAAGGTAGACATGATGGCCGGCCACCGTAGGCCCCCTACAGATATGGGCTATGAACAAAAGCACTGCAGGCATGAAAGGCAAATTTGTGGAGCCAATTGGTTGCAACAATATGATTCATCAAAATTGCAAGCGCTACTTTCATCATTTTATTGTGCTAAAAAAGTTAATCCATTGGATCTCTAGCAAAGTTTGGGATCATTCAATCATGTTGGTTTTGACCTATTATATATTTGATGGGTGTCATCTTGAAAGCAAGCCCCTTCCAAATATTTCAAGCAAAGTAATTCATTGGGGAATCACTACCAGCTCAACTCCCATAGTAAAATGTGTTCGCTATAAATGTATTAAAATAGTGCCATGTTATCCCCATGGCATGTTTCCCACCATTTTGATGCAATCATCCTGGCCATCCTCGCAGCTGGATTTTCCAAGGCCCGGACCCTGTCATTGAACTTGACGCAGAGGGGGCCGAGCAAAAAGTGTTTGCTGCAGACTTGCAGCTTTCGGTGAAGACTGGTGGTGACCCAAGGGTTAGGATAATGAGTTTTTTGGGGTTTATGTGTTAGTAGGAGTTCATCTTAACATTACATATGGTTAATATCTCCTGAGTTTTTGCCCAAGTACACATGGAAATATGATGATGACACACATGTTTGAATCATTTTGAATCCACCATGTTCCCTGAAGTGTGGGTTTATGTGGGTATTCCAGAAGTACGGGAAAGTACGGCCCTTTTATAAATATCCAGGTTTTCTGAATAATAACCAGGTTTTTTGAAAAGGCATTCAGATTTAGAGGTCATCCAGGAGCCAGGTATATATAGATAGATCTGAATGTATAGCAAAAAAATCGATCCAGGATTTTCTTCTACCCAGGTCAAAAATTGCCACTTTTACTTTTTTACATACGATGTGTATCTATATATATATACTGTATATTGTATATATATATACATTTATATTATATATATAATACAACATACTATATATAATATTTAATATATATAATATAAAATATATAAAATATATCATATATATAATATACAAAATATAAAAGATAGATATAATATATATATAATATTCAATATATATATAATATTATATAATGAATTTATAATATGTAAAAAAAAAATATAGATAATATAAATAATATATAAATATAATATATATATAATTTAAAAAAATATATATATATAAATATTATATATAATATATAAAATATAAATAATATATATATAATATTTAATATAAATAATATAAATAATATGAAAAAATATTTTATATGAATAACATACAATATATATAACATTTAATAATATATATATATTATATATAATATATAAAATATAAATAATATATATATAATATTTAATATAAATAATATAAATAATATGAAAAAATATTTTATATGAATAACATATAATATATATAACATTTAATAATATATATATAATATGTATATAATATATAATATCAATATATAATATCAATATATTAAACTTTTATATAATATATTATAATATATTATATTTTATAAAAATAAATTTTAATAGTATTATATATATAATATGCATTTTACGGGGGGTCACACATCGCATCTTGGTGGTGACGTAGTGGCTGACGCTAAAAGGTTATCATGATGCTAAGAGGCAGAAGCCATGCGCAACCACTGCTCCTGGTGGAGATGGATGGATAGGTGGTTAAAGGATCACTACCCTTTTAAGATAGGGGGACGTACCCTAAATGTAAGCTACATTTTAGACGTATTTAAGGGAGAGGGGGTAATAATTGTTGACTTTCACTTATTTTTCAAAGCACGCTCCAATTGCAAACTTTCATATCAAAGGTTGGCTACGGATGATTTGCAGAAATGGAAACACTGTTTTCCGACTCTGTTTTATATGATTTTATCTGGGGGTTCCCCTCTGGTAGTTCCAGCTAAGTAAAACTTCCCAAAATTTATTTTGGGTTTTCAAGGGCCTTTCTCCTTAACTCTATCCCAAGAAAAAGATGTGGTGGGTGACTCAAAACGTATGAAATGATCATATGACTGGGGGGAATCAACATCCACAAAATAATCACAAAATCATGTCCCCAGCTATATTTTTGGTACCTTAGGGTAGGGTACCTTAGGGTAGGGTGCCAGAGTTTTGACTCATAGCCATATGGGTATGGGTCAAAATTGGGTACCCCAATAATTGGATGGTTACTACTAAAGATAGGCTTATCTCTCTGAGGTCCCCTTGGTCTTTAATTTTGACTCATAGCCGTCCGCTTTTTGCGGCTCCTGTGTCTCCGGCTCCAGCACTTCGTAAGCCTTCGCCAAGTCCGCGAAGTGAGTGGGGGCGCCGGGGCGCAAGGCATGCAGCAGCAGGTGGCCTCAGGTGGTGCCACAACCGGTGACATGTTGGACACCAATGGATAAGAAATGCTAAAAGAGATTGCTACCCTCTGGTAATTTAACATAGCTATTGAATATGGCAATTTATAATCATTTATAGTTGATTTACCTTTGAAAAATTGTGATTTTCTATAGTTATTTTAGTTTACCAGAGGGTAGATGACATAGGTGTGAAAAATCAATCATAAATCATAAACCATTAGCACACTAACATGTGGCTGATAATGTTGATACATGGTTATTGTGATAAACCCAGTTTAATAAATCATGGCCATCCATCGCCTAAATCACCATTTTTACAGGTGGTATAAACCATCCCCAAATGGTAGGTTTATTCTTTGGTTTACCACATTATTGAACGGTGAATGACCAGTATTCTCAACGGGCGAGAATTCTATGGATCTATCTATAGGAATGGTTCATCACACTGATTATCAATTAATAACGTGTAGTACTGGTTAATGATGGATATAATGTTGCCCAACCGTTCATATCCGTTCACAGTAAATGATATGATGAACCCAAGAATGAAATATCCCCTATGACTGGGTTCCCTGCATGAATCTGATCATGTTTACCCCCAAGTTTTCTGGTGTGTACTTGATATTTGGGGGGATTGCAGCAATTGGTGTGTCCTAAGGCGAAATCATGCCTCGGATGTTAGAACACACCACTTCAGCGTGGCAAGATGTGGCCGCTGAAAATGGAGATGAATAGATGCAAACCGAGGGGCTTGGGAAAGCAGAACCAATGGAAAGGCACCAGTCTGAACCCTGAAACTAGGATGGGTGTACCTCAAAATCGCTCCATCATCATTATTTGTTGGTCAAAAATAGCAATTCCTCCAGGTATGGTGCCTAAGTCATGGGGGGACGGACCCCCAGTCACCATGGAAAATCTTGTGATTTTCCATGAGAACCACCCATTCTCTGGACCCAAGCGGCTAAACACGGCTTTTTCAGTGCTCCCGTCCTGGTGCCACTGTGGACCCACCTGCACCACTCCATGCTCCGCCTGGCGCCATGTATTTTTTTAGGGTTTAGAGAAAATCATGTTGATTTAACAATTTTTTTACAACACTTATCTAAAGTTTAGGTGGGTTAAAATTTAGAATTTGCCACGTTTATTGCTTTTACCACCTCTTCGCCACTTGTTTGCCCACTTTTTGGTGATTTGCCGGGACTGGCCCACTTTGATGTGAGTCCACGTTGCGGAATTTCTGCGCTAGCCTCTGGCGATCTAACTTCCAAGGCAATGGATAAAGAAGCCAATCTACAGATGGATTTCTTCAAAGTACCAATTGTGAAATTCCATCGCCATGTTGCCATGCCAGATTACCACAGGGAAATTCCCCTTTGATACTTTAGACATGTGTTCATACCAACGGGTCTTCTTTCCACATTTTTTTGATGAGATTCCCACATCACTGGGGAATTTTCCCCAAGGATCTTCTCACCTCTTTTTTGGTCAAATTATCCTCCAACATCCTCCCAAACGGTGCCTGGTTGGATAGGCGCAGGATGTCTTCACTTGGAGAACTGGGATGAACCACATGGCGACTCACTACCTCCTGCATTGAAAAATGAGACCCCAGAATCTCGAAGATCCCATGGTGCAGAAATAATCTTCCGTGAAAAAACAACACGTAAAGTATATTTGGGGCATTTCACAATATTTCACAGTTTGAGACAACTCCAAATGTTTTGTTATCGATGTTTTAAATAGTTTGAGTTCTGGCTTTGCAATTCGTTGGTTAAAAGTTGTACGTTTACATGCATATGCCCTGCACGTTAATTCATAATCTACAACCATGTTGAATTGAAGTAACTTAGAAGTAGTTAAACCTGTTTCGATGACAGTCTCCCTGGCCCGACTACCGTAAGTTTCCTGGGCTCCTTTCCACCAAAGAGCCGGGAAATTCGGAGAAACTCCGAAGCTGTCAGGTTTTCGCAGCACCTGACGCTGCGAAATCTTGTGGACAGGCTTGGGTATGGGTCAAAGCTAGACTCCTCATTAGAACAAAGGTGACAGAGTTGAGCTCTTCCAGGATGGTAGTTCGATGATGTTTCCCCATGCTTTCCAGCTTTCCAACTTTTTCTTCGCCATCTGGGTGCTATGTCATCGTTCTTACCACCCATCCCACCCCACCACCACAACAGCCCCCACCGCGGAAACGCCAGCACCCCGCTATGCGTGGGAAGCGTCAATAGCTCCGCACTCAGCGTTTCGGCAAGGACAACATCGAGCTGCTGAGGAGTGATGCCGTGGATGGCGGACACGCCGCCTGGACCAGGTCGCAGGACCTTTTCCACGAAGAATCATCCAACTGGATGTAACTGGTGAATTTTTGTGGGCTCATAAGCCATGGGTTAACCCAGCGCTGGAGGACTTACTAACCAGTGTTACTAACCAGATATTAACTGGAATGAAACTTCAAGCATGGATGGTGCAAGGAATTTGCTGAGCAATCCCTCCTTGCTGAGCAATCCCTCCTCTAGGGCCGAAGAAATAATCGCGATATGTTCAGGAAAAAAAACCTAGCACCCAGGTATTCCCACCGAATAGTGAAGAATACGTTTTTATTATATATTTAAATATTCATCCCCCCAACTGCTGACCCAAAAACCAACATTAACAGCCTGGGAAAATCCCCAAACCCTTGTCAGCCCTTCCACCTTGGCTCCCTTCCGCTGGCATCACTTCATACCGTGGGCGTGCCGATGGGGCGGTAGCTGCATTGAAAAAAAGGACCTCAAAAAAATCGCCATAGGAAAGCTCCCAAGCTTGGAAAAATATGGGAAAGCCTCCAGTTGGTTGATGTTTGGGAAAGCATCCGATTTTTCTCAAAGGGGGGTGCCAGTGACCAGGGGGGGCCCCCCTGCCCCTGCTGGCTTTGAGATGACATAGATGACGTGAAAATGAGTGAAACATAGTGGCCCAATGAAAACATACGAGGCTTTCCGTCCAGTCATGGGGCAACTTCAAATTATCCAGATCATTAGACCGTGACTTAGTAATCTTAGTATTGAAACATGACTTGGGGATCCCCCATTCTAAGAAACCTCCGTATCAAAAAAAAACTACAAAAGCTGGATGTTCAGCGGCCCAAGGCAGCCCCCATGGCCAAGCCACCCAGGACACAGCAACCGCAGCCCGGAAGCATCGAAATGTCATGGCCCAGTGCCCATGAGGCCCCTCAGGCTTGGGCCAAAACTTTCGATATCCAAGGGCTGACCCTACTGTACCAAACAAATTCCTTTGAAAAATATACGAAAAAAAGAAAAGTATGGGCTGACATCAAGTGAGCCTGAAATTGGATGAGCCTGAAATCTTGACCCTGAAGTTCAAACTTTGCCGAACCTTGAAAGGTTCCCATAGCAATCAAGCATGGAACCTCTAGAACTGAATCATACTGAAGGCATCCCAATTTGGCCATGGGGTAACCCAATTTCGACCCCATGGCCCGTACCACATCACCATGTTTGACAAGTGTTTGTAGCATCAGACTCTTCAGAGGGGAAAAAAAAGGTCCTCGCAATTGAAGTGCGTCCGTCCTATCATGTCTATATCCCAAGGATGTTCAGATCTATTCGAGATCTATTTCTCTGTTGAGTCGGATGATTTTCATACTGAAGGTTTCCCATTTTTGGGGGGTACCCCAAAATAGCTGGTTTATTTCATGGAAAATCCCAATCTAAAATGGATGACTGGGGTAATTACCCCATGACTTACAGGATGGGCCCCCTTAATAATAAGTTGGTTTATAAACCATTATAATCACCATTAACTATAGTTATATCTACCATAAACCACTGTTAAGCCACTTATAAACCAACTTAGCTATCTTGGGGGCCCCATGACTTAGGAAACCTCCATCTTTTCCCACCCCAAGTCGTCTCAGATCAGATCACCACTTGCATGGCGTTCAGTTCCTCCAGCGCCCGCGGCACTGCCACAGCCAGGCCTGGAAAAAATTCAGCCAACAAGTCTGAATATCTAAGACTTGAGTGGAGGTTTCCATAAATGGTGGTACCCCATTTTATGGATGGTTTATAATATCTAAGACTTAAGTATACTATAGCACACTTAAGTAATTACTGTATCTGGATAAGTTCGAAGAATTCACCTAGCTGATTTTTTTGGGGGTCATGAGGGAAGTCTCCTTACGACGCCGCCATAAAAAGTGTAGCGATGCTCGACACGACAAGCAGCTCGCACCTGTCCAGAGCGTCTCCGGCACATGAGTGGATGCTTGCGCGAAGCTGCTAAGCAGCTCCCGCAACTGCAGGGGCTCCAGTGTTGAGCCGTCCTGGCGGTCCGTCGCTGGCGGTCCGTCAGCTGGCCATGGACATAGGTCACATGTCCTTAATTATAAAGTGTCCAATTTGCCGGAAGGTACATGCATCATCCATCTTCGATTTTGTGCAGATCATCCACAAATGATGTTCCGTGAGTTAAAACCTTGGAATATCGAAGTGTATCTCAGCTTGCAGATGAAGCCGTGAGAGGAGAAACAAAATTGAAATGTGGCCCCGAACTGCCAGACGACGCTGCAAGACCTGAACTTGCGCCAGCAAATGCTGGATGACAACTTGAAAATCTCACATATGCTGTGCCAAAGGTATATCAATTGCGACAATTGTGGTTGGCTATACAAACTTGCACATATGCTGTGCCAAAGGTATATCAATTGCGACAATTGTGGTTGGCTATACAAACTTGCAATGTGTATACGCTGTCTGGTGGTTTCTCACAAGTGGGTCAAGTACTAAATTTGAACACATTCAGTTTGTTGGTGCCCCGTTTTAAGACCATACCTACTTTCTTGAAGTGCCATAAGGATATAAAGTTCTGAAACATCGGGTAATCCTCTCCAGTCGTATTGCTTCTCGTTGCTTCTCCCCCGTGGCAAGGAAACATGGCAACGAATAAAAGAAACATGTTTATATATATATAACAGGAAAATCGGAAAACCATCTACAATTTGGGCAGACATGTACAATATACATGAGAAAAATGACGATATTGATATTGGAGATATTTGGAAGATTGTCCATGGTGCTGATTGACTGCCGGTTCGGGGGTATCCCACTAAGGCTCGCCTCCGCCAAAACGCTCAGCTCAGCATCACCTGAGTTTCCTCTCGCCAAGGCCGTTGCCTGCAGATTTCATGACGATTCGCGCCCAGGGATCAAACGATTCTGAAGGATTCGAATTAATGTGGGTAAGACAATGTCATAAACCGCCCATTTGGGAATGGTTTATACCACGTATAAAAAAGTGTGATTTGGGGGATGGTTTATTATTGTTTTACCCACATTACAAAAAGTTACAAGATCATACAAGATCTTTGTTATCTTTACCTTTTTGGGAGACTAAACTTTCAGGTGTCCAAAGATGCCCTTTGTATTGACGAACATGGCTGGTAGATGTCGAATATGTGTGTTGCATTGACAAATGATTGTGATGAAATAGATTGGACAATCTGTCACTATCAGTGAAACAATGGTATCGGTAATAGAATGTGATTACGGAAGATCTAGATATGTAATAATTGTTGATGAATCAAGTACATGCACATAATCTGGATTCTTTCCACGGTAGACATCGCACTTTGGGTTTCATGAGGGGATGTGCAATCCAACTGCGGTATATAAAACGAGATGTAAACAAATTGTAAAATGATGTAAGAAGTCGAGATAAAACCGAAAAACCGAATGGTTCTGAATGGGGGGAAATGATGGTTGACATGCCAAGCACCATGAATCGCAGCTATCAAAACTTGGTTCACACGGTCATGATGTTTATCTCATATAACAGTATATATACATTGGTTCTGGAAGTGGCGGGACCATACTTATGCATTGAAATGTAGTCTGCAGATGTCTGCAGATGTCTGCAGATGTCTGCACCACATAATGTCAACAAATTTGGATACTCAAGTGTCTTTGTCTTCAAGCACACATAAAGCTGATTGTTAGGCTCAGGTCCATTTTTTAACGCCGCAATTCACAGGTAGCAAATTGTCAGCTAGTCATGGTTTGAATAGCTTGGTTGGAGGCAAGAAGTTCTGCCGCAATTTCCGCAGCAGATTCTCCTGCTCCATGGCAAAGATCGAACACGCAATCATCGAAGAATGCAGCATTGTCGGCGTTCCTCTGGTCAACATATGCTCCCAAGTGCTTGGAGCATGTCCTTGAATCTTCTTGCTGAAGTGAGGAAAAAATGATATGTAAAAATATGTAAAATACTATGTTCCAAACAGATTCCCCACTTGGCGCTCTAGCGAGGAAAATAAACATCACTTCAACAAGTCCAAGCTACTCTTTGGCTTGGTTCTCTTCTGCCTTGCTGCAACTGGCGATGCTTTCTGCTCTTCCCGAAGCACTTGAGATCTGAAGCACAGACATCTTTGAAGCCTCATCCACCGTGCGCAAATACGCAGCTGCCGCAGCACTGCCTCAAGGCCCACCCACATTAATGTCTTGGACAGGCTGTTCTTCCCCAACATCACCAGTACATGAGACTAATTTGATCCTACATGCACTTATCGGCGTGCAAAACTGCAACCCCCAAAATAATCAAAATACAATTCATGGTCCAAGGGGTTGTCTAACGAATTTTAACACCATCGCGTGGGGCTTCGTCAGTCATGAGCTCGCTAGCCACGATCCTCCCCGTGCCTCCCAGATCCTTCCAATTCTTGTTGGTGCGAAATTCCGCATCAGTGGATGTCCCTAGCAGGGATAGCTTCTTGCGCGCCACCTTCAATTCGCCATCAACGAATTGTTGGTCCTCCCTGGGGGTCAAGCTGTCGACTCAATACGACAAACCCATGTGCTTCGGCTGCAACACTGCCACACCCACCGTCACCCATGTACAAACTGCTGCATCATCTGTACCAATATCAACATGCAGCACGACAACTTTCGAATATTTCTTATGTTTTGCGACTGCGTCAAACTAGTTTATCACGCAACCAGGACAGGGCATGAGAAAGAATCAAAATGAGCAGGACAAACCCGCCAACGGCCACGGCCATGCTTGCAATGTCTGATTGTAGACGCGATAGGACATATTATCGAAGAAAATTTAGAAGTCAAATTTCCAACAATATGGATAGATGGCAGGGCAGAGGTGGGAAGAGTCAGAGAAGAGAAAGGAAGAATAAACAAGGTCAGAGAAGAGAAAGAGTCAGAAGAAGGAAAAAACTGCAAGTGCGAGAAAAGGTAGAAAAGTCGCAAAACACTGTGTTTCTTGTGACTCCGGAAGGTCGAAAAGTAGGCGCGCTAATGCGGCGGGCGCGGAGCCATCTGGAGAGATGAGAGCTAAAGCGAATCAAAATGCGCAAAACACACCAGGTTCGGAGCACTTTTGACAGCTGAGACGTTCCAAAAGTACACCCCCCTTGTGGTGCGAAGCACATTTCGAAGTCAAAATGTGCAAAACACCTCAGTTCCAGAACATTTTTGGAAGTTGCGATGCTCAAAAACTGCACAACGTTGTGACGCGAAGCACATTTGGAAGCCAAAATGGTAAAAATGCCTCATGGCCGGAGCACTTTTGGACGTTGAGCTCTTCAAAAAGTGTACGCGGCTACGGCGTGAAATTGCACGAAGCAGATTTCAAAGTGAAAACGGTGAAAGCACCAAACGTATCCAAATGTTCAGACCACTTTTGGAAGTTGCGATGTCCAAAAAGTGCATGCTGTTGTGGCGTGAAGCACGTTTCAAAGTCAAAATGTGAAAAGCACAGCAAGTTCGGACAACTTTTGGACGTTCAACCGCACCACACTACACTCCAACTACAACTACAGCACCAACACCAACAACTACAGCTACAACTACGGCCAGCACTTGTGCTATGCCCGCAACTCTTTTGGGATGATTGTCAGGAACCTCATTTTTGCCGACCCTTACCGTACGTTGTGGCCGTCCACTTTGCTAAGATGTTATAACATGATGTCCCTCACGTCGCTTCGTGCGGGACGTGATTGATGACCCTCTGCGGAGTTCCGGCTGTCCCACAATCGCTGTTTTCAACACTTTTTAGATAAACCCTAGAGAAAACCTACAAAAACTCTGGGGAAAACCCTAAATGAACCCTAAAGAAACCCTGCAAAAACCATATGAATGTGTATATCTGGTTCGTGGTTTCAACCCCTCTGAAAAATATTCGTCAATGGGAGGGATTATCCAATATATTTTGGAAAATAAAAAATGTTTGAAACCACCAACCAGATATAGTGAAGAACCTGGTGGCGGACGTGCTGCGGGTACAACTACAACTACAACTACACTATAGACATAACACTATATACAGTACACTACACCTACACAACACTACACTGCACTACACTCCGCTACACCTATTAAACCTATAGGAGAGGTTGGTTGTTGCGAATCAGGGATGGCAGAGCGAAGCCACTGATGGACTGAAAGGTGCTTGATCTCTCTCACTCTTTCACTCTCTCTTTTGCTCTCTTTCTCTGACTTTCAACCTACCTACCTACCGATCTATCTATGTATCTATCTATCTATCGATCGATCTATCTATCTATTTATCTATCTGTCTATCTATCTATCTTTTTATTTACCTGTCTCTATTTATTTGTCTATCTGTCTGTCTGCCTGTCTGTCTGTCTATCTATCTATCGATCTACCTATCTATTTAACTATCTTGGTATCTAACTATTTGTCTATGTGTCTATGTATCTATCTGACTTTCTATCTATCTATCCATCCATCTAGCGATCAAACTGTCTCTCTATCTATTTGTCTATCTGTCTATCTGTCTATCTGTCCATCTGTCTATCTATCTATCTGTCTATCTATCTATCTATCTATCTATCTATCTGTCTGTCTGTCTATCTGTCTATCTGTCTATCTGTCTACCTGTCTATCTGTCTATCTGTCTATCTGTCTATCTGTCTATCTATCTATCTATCTACCTATCTATCTATCTATCTATCTGCCTATGTATCTATCTATCTATCTATTTATCTATCTTGGCATCTAACTATCTGTCTATGTTTTCTATGTATCTATCTGTCTGTCTATCTATCTATCTATCTGTCTATGTTTTCTATGTATCTATCTGTCTCTCTATCTATCTATCTATCTATCTATCTATCTATCTATCTATCTATCTATCTATCTATCTAGCTGTCTCTCTATCTATTTGTCTATCTGTCTATCTGTCTATCTGTCCATCTATCCATGTATCTATTTATCTATCTATCTTTCTATCTATCTACCTAAATATCTATCTATCTATTTGTCTAGCCATCTATCTATATCTGTCTATCTCTCCGTCTGTCTATCGATCAAACTGTCTCTCTATCTATCTGTCTATCTGTCTATCTATATGTCTATGTATCTATCTATCTATTTATCTACCTATCCTGGTATCTAACTATCTGTCTATGTGTCTATGCACCTATCTGTCTATCTATCTATCTATCTATCTATCTATCTATCTAGCTGTCGCTCTGTCTATTTGTCTACCTGTCTATCTGTCTATCTATCTATCTATCTGTCTGTTTATCTGTCCATTTATCTTTCTATCTATCTATCTATCTGCCTGTCTAGCCATCTATCTTTCTATCTATCTATCTATCTATCTGTCTAGCCATCTATCTTCCTATTTCTCCATCTATCTAGCGATCAAACTGTCTCTCTATCTATTTGTCTATCTTTCTATCTGTCTATCTGTCTATCTGTCCATCTATCTATCTATCTATCTATCTATCTATCTAACTGTCTAGCCATCTATCTATATCTGTCTATCTCTCCGTCTGTCTATCGATCAAATTGTCTCGCTATCTATCTCTCTATCTATCTATCTATCGATCTATCTATCTATCTATCTAGCTATCTGTCTATGTGTCTATGTATCTATCTATCTAGCTATCTATCTCTCTAACATCTCTCATGAACATGTCTTTTGTACTGTGCCTGCCACGGAAAATGCATCTATGCAGATCCTCTTCAAATGTCCCAAGCCTGCCACGCGGAACGACATCTGAGCGTCCAAAATTGATCCGACCCCTAGTGCTTTTAACATTTTGACTTCGAAATGTGCTTCGCGCCACAACAGCGTACACTTTTTCGACATCTCAACTTCCAAAAGCGGTCCGAAGCTGAGGTGTTTTGTACATTTTGACTTCAAAATGTGCTTCGCGCCACAACGGCGTGCACTTTTTCGACATCTCAACTTGCAAAAGCGGTCCGAAGCTGAGGTATTTTGTACATTTTGACTTCGAAATGTGCTTCGCGCCACAACGGCGTGCACTTTTTCGACATCTCAACTTCCAAAAGTGGTCCGAAGCTGGGGTGTTTTGTACATTTTGACTTGGAAATGTGCTTCGCGCCACAACGGCGTGCAATTGTTCATCTCTCATCTGGCCAGCTGGCTCCGCACCCGCCGCTTTAGCGAGCCTACTTTTCGACCCTCCGGAGCCACAAATCATTGGAAAAACACAGTGTATCGCGACTTTCCTACCTTTTCGCGCATCTGCATCTTCTTTCTTCTAACTCTTTTTCTCTTCTCTGATCTTCTCTGATCTTCTCTGATCTTCTCTCTTCTAACTCTTTTTCTCTTCTCTTCTCGTCTCTTCTCGTCTCTTCTCTTCTCTTCTCTTCTCTTCTCTTCTCGTCTCTTCTCGTCTCTTCTCGTCTCTTCTCGTCTCTTCTCGTCTCTTCTCTTCTCTTCTCTTCTCTTCTCTTCTCTTCTCTTCTCTATTCTTCTGCTCCACCTCTGCTTTTCATCTGTCCATATTGTCGGAAGTTTGACTTCTAAACTTCCTTCGACTATATCCGGCAATTGTGGGTGAGATGAACACTGCAACCACTCCAAAAAGCACAACTCCAACCACCTTTCGGTCCATCAACGGATTCGCTCTGCCGTCCATACATCACAACAACTCACCGCTCCAATAATTTTCTATCTTTGAAACTTCCGCCACCGCCTTGTGCCCGGTACAACTGGTATAAATATGTTTATATATATATATATACATATATACATAATATATATATACTGTACACAGAAACAAGTGACAGTAAGGGTGGAACCCATCAACCAGTCAATTTGCTTCGAGAAGTTGGTCGCCATGTTTTTTCAGCCCCCTACCTGTGGTTCATGACCATCTGGAGATTGATGTGATGCTGGGGCCTACAGCTGAGGCTCAGCACGGCAACGTCTGTCGGGCCATCTTTCGTCTGCATATTCAAACGCACCAGGTTGTGGCCTGCAGTTCTGATGTTCTGGATGTTGGGAAAGAAAAGGCATCATGCAAATTCCAAACCAAGGAATATTGACGAATATTGGGGGTATCATCTTCTTGTGTTGGGATCCAAATTGGAGGTGTCAAATCACTTGTCAAATCAGGCCAGTGACCCTTGGGCCCATCCTTCCTTGTCACAATGAAACTGCTGACATAGTCCTGACCATCGAGAACTGAAAGCGAATCTCCGTTTTGGACTGCAATCCACTCGCTTCCTTTCCGTCCTTTCCACTGGCAGTCACGGGCGGTGATTTCTAAGGCTTGACGGTGTGATCCGCCGGAGTTGTCGACCAGAAGTAATCCTTTCGTAAAGGCCTGGTGGCCTGAGTAGTGCGTAAAGACTTCCCAGTCCTTTGAATTGCCGAATGGGCCAAAAAGCACCAACAAAAAGAACCCGGTAGATTGCCAACTGTGGCTCTAACATCGAAAAAAAAAGGAACACATTGAACACATCACCTGTTCAGCTCCAGGAATCGACTCCGACTTTCTTCACCTCACCTTTCCACTCTGCTTCCACCCCCGAAAAGTGCCAGAGGGAGAAGGTGCCCTGGCTCAGCAATGTGTAGCGGATGCCATCCAGGGTCTTGATATGCGGATCCCCGACCACGTTGGAGATTGTAGCCACTTCATAGACATCCCAATTGGTATTAGAATTGATAGCAGTGCCAATACAGCACCAGCAGACCCAATTATTGCTTCCAGTGAACAAAGTGTCGAATAAGGTGTGACTTTGGCAGAATCCATTGCAATTGTTGAGAAATCCCGGTGGGAATGAGCCGCTGTTGCCGTTCTGTGTGTAAACTTCAGGGTTGATCCGGGAGGTGCACTGGTAATCAGCGGCAAATAACGTTGGTCCTGAGAAGGGTTTGATGGTTTCCTCTACAGCACCACCTTTTCTTGAGTTTCGCTAATGAACAATGGCTTTCACCAGTATAATCCTACTCAGAGACCCGTCATTTTTCTTCAGATCACTATGTTCTTGACCTATTCGCTGTTTTCTATGCCTGGCCGTGATTTGTTTAGCCCGTTTTTGGCTGCGAGCCTGGCCTGACTCGACTGCAAGTAGCTGCGGCTTCGGCTCGGACAGCTGCAACAAGCACGACGTGTCGGGACGCTCAGCTTGCACCACCGCCAAAAGCACAAAGATGGAGAAGGAAAACATGGCAGAGAGAATATGAACAAATTCAGTGACTTTTTGGGCATCAAACAGCTCGTGAGGGTCAGTAGGTGTGGACTCAATCATCCAACTTCACCTTAAGCAAGCGCTGACAAAAGATATGAGGAAGCAAACATCTAGCGGATATCTAGAATATGGTTGCGGGGGCTGACTTCCTGCGCAGGGTCGCTTGTTCTGCCGGATAGGTTGCTGAAATTCCAGGGTTTATCTTCCACCAGCCATTAAATGGTTTCAAAGCAAACGAAACGCCATTCGGTTGATGCCAAATGAAACGCGCAGTCAAACAACTCGCCAGTAAACCAACTAGTCCCGGTGGGTTGGTGGTCTGTCGGCCCATGATTTTGGCTACCAATGGTGCAAATTTGAACGGAATGGGATTTCCGTGGATGCTGGTAATCATATATCACACTCGACCGAACTTGCCCGGTCTGGGTTGTATCGTTCATCACTGTTTCTTGCGCTTGGTTGCCAAATGCTGGCTTCATTAGTTTCATTATGTTTCATTTATACCATTTTATACCATATGAGCTCCTCCCCAATCTCCCCATCCAGGTGACACAATGGAGCTTCGAGAAACGTCGCCTTGGCCACCGCCGCAGAACCGCGCGCAGAGACGCCGTGGGGATTGCGCCATGCCAGGCTCCGGAGGCGCCGGAGGGGAAGCAGCCGGCGATGCATTTTTTCGTGAATCCATAGGTGGTGCCCCCAAGATAGCTTGGTTTATAACTCGAGCTAGTTAATGGGATAAACCAACTTAGAACTGGGGGGCACCACCTTGTAGGGACAAGCCATGGTTTTTTTACGTGTAATACACATTCATATACCATTGAAAGAAAAAACACCGGTATATGCTATCATATACTATTGAAATTGAACTGTTGATTCAACCCAATGATACGTGATTTATATATTTATAATGATGTATGCATATATTATGTTGAAAGTCAGCAAGAATACCCGGTGATATCAACTACCAGATCTAAATACGTGTGTGCTTCTTCAGCACGTTTTTTCACATGTTCGGTGAATCATTATTCTGAAAGATCGATCAACAAAGAGTTAATTGATCTTAGTTACTGGTTGACCCGTGTTTGAGTGATGCATTCAGAGAGGGAAATCCAACCTGAATGAGCTTCTGGCTGGGCGTGAGCAGCTTCGGATCAGCCACTTTGGCATCCAAAAATGGCCTCTCTGGTGAACCCATACTCAGCCGTCATGGCGTTGGCGCTACTAACAAAAAAAAACTCAGACATGTTCAGAACCCATCCCATTCCAGTCATTCCAACCAGCGCATCAAATTTCGCAGGGGGTACCCTATTTCAACCCATCCAGCACTGGACCGGCCACCCCGAGCAGCACTTGTTCCACCCTGTGGTAATGGCAACGAACCGTACTGGCCTTGGGCCAACAGGGTCGACGAAGCCAAGCACCTAGCTCAGCCTCACTGGATATCCACTGACGAAGAAAATATGTCGCCACGGCTGGAGATCGCTATATCTTTTAAGATGGAAAAGTATGTCTAGATGGATGTACATGAAGATTTTCCGGTGCAATGCTTGGCTTGAGGCTACTGAATCGGATGATGCGAGGTCCGTCAACTGATTGGCCGCTAAGATTAGCAGGTGAGCCCTGGACGTATTTTATACACATTCTTATACATCATTCTTCAATTGCAAGCGGCCGGTGAGGCAGCTCGCAGTTGTGTTTGTTGCTAAACCCATCGCCATCTTTGGGGGCTGTGGTTTTTTTGGACCGGGGACCCCCAAAGTTCTGGCGATTCAATCTATGGCTAAAGAGGAAAATGATGGCCAACCATGAGATGTCTGAAAAAACCATTGCAGAGTATCAAAAATTGCATCGTTTGGCAACCATACATTGGGCACCAATGGACACAACATGGGTCATGTTGAATATTTAAAAATCCGTTCTTTTTAGGTGGTACCTTCTGGCCATCAAGCGGGGGAATGGAAAATTCACCAAAACCATGTCCCATTGAAACTTGAATTACCACCTCCAATTCATAGGGAGTATCCCATTGCCACGTTTGATTACTGCAGGGTAAGATCTTTCACCGTTCCTACCCGTTGGGACCGAGTCGCTACAACCATTTCGGAGCGGGAAATCATCTCAAGTGATCAATCAAAATGGATACATGTTCCTGACAGAAAACATTTTTTTTTGTGTCAACCGATTGAATCAATGAACCACTGTAACAATCTTAATACTTACTCTATGTTAATCTGATAAACAACCCTGAATGAATCTCCTGGATGTCGATTAAAATCCGCCGCCGCATTCCTAAGCACCGACAAAAAATGCACCCACTTCATCTTGTCGCTTAGGCACCATTCACGAGGGATCAAAAGGCCGGAGTTGAGAAACGTCAAAAATTGCAACAACAATACCTGCATATCTGGCCTTGATTTGTAATCTATAGAAATCTTCAGACCGGCCCAAGGAAAATTCTACAGCAAACATCAGGAACCATGATTTTCCCTGAAATATGGTTGTTTCCTGTAAGTTCTCCCTTAAACCCAATCTAATGAAGAAATGCATTATGGATCTTGAAATCTTCTGCCTATGCTGTCAATGGCGCTACTGTAGTTATTTCAAACCTGTCATTCAAGTGGATCTTTCACGTCATCGGTGCAGCCACTGCTTCCTGCCCCTCTTAGAGGGTCTGACAGCATCTAGATGCGCGGTTTTTTGTACACGCGAAGTTTCTGCAGGGAAGACGCTTGCAAGTTCAAAATGTCTGCGGCCAAACCCAAACATATTCCAAAGCTTCACATGGAACCCTCTATAAATTAAGTCAAGCAGGTGATTCGCAGCATCAACCCTGAGTAAACCTAGGTTTGGTAGTGATTTAACCTTAACTGAAAACCATTCCAAAAAACACGTATTTAACAATATCTAAGCAACACAAACCCAGCAGAAGACCAACGTTGTTGGTTTTGGTGTCAATGGGCCGTCTTTCAATATGGAGATGTTGGATGTTTGAACTTGGCCTCCTCAACACTGGCGCAAGGTGATCCAGAGGAGTCATGGATACATCCAACTTAGCAGACAGTTTTGCTGCCTGTCTTTCCTGTTAAAGATGAAACTCCGGTCTTCAATTCAATGTGCAAATTTGTAAAATGTGGATTCAATGTGCAAAAATCTCAGCATGAAATCCCCCGTCCTACTGTTCCCGCAATTTTGGCACTGGACCATTTGGCACCCGTGATGGCAAGATCCTACCCGATCTTGGCACTCAGAGGCGCCTGGGAACAGCCTGCAGTTCAGCGTTCGCGAGATGAGCGCTGGATCTGATTCAGGGGGGGAATTTATTTTGCAGATCCACTCTTTTCCGCATGTTTTGGGCATGGAACCCAACTTGATGTCCCAATTTCGGAGATTGAAATCAATTAAATCATCTTCCTCATGATATGGATCCAAGAATGAGGATCACTGAGTTGGTGATTTATTGCTGGAGCAACTCTGAGGTGGCGGAAAGTATTCTGCCTGACACGAGAGAAGCTTGAAAAATGGATGGAAATATATCTTTCTATTGTGAACTCTTTGTATCTCTATCATTCTCTATCATTCTCTATCTGACTTGCGACTTGAAAATAAACAAGATGGATAGAAAAATCGAGATACATATATTCCATCTGATTCCATGACTGGTGGTTTCAACCGGTGGCCAGGGGTTATTGATGGCTACAACTACGGCGGAATTATGGTAAATATCCACATGAGTTGGGATATGAACCTGGCAAGCATGGTTAAGCATCCAATTGTCACTTGAACTGTACACCCAAGTATACTGGTTGAGAACCATATTGGTGAGTATAACCCGCTACTGCACCAGAGTTTATCAGCCGCTGTTCACAGGGGGCTTCCATTGATTTGTGGATCATAGCTGGATGGTTTCATGGAAAGTTTCCGAAAATCAAAAATGTGGAGGTTTCCGAAGTCATGGGGGCACCCCTCGCCATCCAGCTAAGATTTTCCATTGACCATCCAGCTGGAAATCCCCATAACTTCACCAGGCCTTCGCACTCACCTTGGCTCGCAGCCTGCAAGGCTGAGCCACGGAATGTCCTGAAAAAAATGGTGGATATGAATGATAGTAGCATAAATGTAATATAGTGGATTTAGTACATATATCAAATCAAAGTATATAAATCCAATATGATTATGATTATGGTGATATAGCGATCAATTGGATATAGTTGATCATATGTAATTCTACATATATATATATATATATCCCATGGGGATTGGTAATGCTTGTGGGGACTTATAGAATCCACTAAATCCAGTTTGCGCGTGAATATCACCAATTGGAATCAATTGGACATCTTAGTGGGGAAAATTCTAGTATACCACATTTTCAGATTGGGTTTACCCTATTTTCGCACTACTCATATATTGACAAATGGTCAAGTGGTATATGCAGAAAAAAAAATGGGGGGTACCTGATTTTCACACCGCCGGACGCGACATCGTGGCGCAGTCATCGTGGCGTGCCTGTTTCTTTTCTCGGCTTCGCTGGGCTCCATGGCGTGAGAGACCTGGCGCGGCAATCCACCAGTGGAATAGTGTGATTTATATACCACCAGAATTGATCTGTTCTTGGTACCAGTCCAATCCCCCCAAAAAATAAACGTCATTAGGGATCCTCATTTCCAGGATGGACATGAGACAATGAAACCACGGGCCAGTTGTTTTGGTGCATCTCTATTATCAGGTGTTGTTGAGTCAGGTGGAAGCAATGTCTGACCCACTTTCCGGTGTCATCTGTGGCTACGAAATCCCCAAGAAACGTAGAGCAATGGGAGATGTTCCAAAACGCCACGTTTGATGACACCGGAGGGTGCCCATTCGTTTTGGCGTTCCTGGATCCTCTGGTCGCACCAGGGGATGAATCCTCAACATAGCCATTGTACCCCCATTGGATTCCCATGGATTACACAGATGTGGTATAAAAAATAGATCCCCTTTACTCTTAAACACTATATTTTTAATAAATTCCCATTAAATCCCCATTAGATCCCCTTTGCATTTTATGCCTATGATTATCTATGATAAACCCTGGATCTGGTATTTATCACATATTAGCCGCTATTATATGCTATTATAACCTTATAGCCACTATATCCCCATTATATAAAGTTACAGTATAATACCTACGATAAAGTTATACGTAACTTGGAACCCACGAAAATCCCACCAAAATCCCCACACACCGGGTCCCCGCATTGCTGGCCACCTTCGACATCACCGACCAATCCTTCTGTTCCTTCGGATTCTTGGCGAATAAAGACCTTGGGCCGGGTGAATTTTTTTCCTGGGGAAAAGTGGCTCTGAAAAGTCTGTTTTTTTTCCTGGGGAAATAAGGCGAATTGTATACCTGGGTAAGGAAATGGCAATGGTGATACCCCTTATTCTAAGGGGAATGGTGATACCCAAATGGTGATACCCCTTGAAAAATTGCCTTAAAAAATGGGAAAGAAGGGGAAATGGTAAGGAACCAGTGGATTTAGGGTTATCCTTTTTCAGACAAGCCCTTAAATTTACCATCTGGTTATGACTAACAGTTCGCCATGGAAAATCACCATGCTATTAATAGGTCAACCATCTATTTCAATGGGCCATTTTCCATGGCTATGTTAAATAACCAGAGGGTAAATGATATTACTATCCCGCTACGACTTTCGTGACTAAAGGGGGCCCCATGCCAAACAACTCCGAGCAAGCCCGCAGCAGTCATAGCAGCTGCTGTATCTGTTGGCCGATTGCACGATTCTCCCCAAGAGAGTTTCCGATGAAATCATGGCCAACCTTAAATGTGCAAAATATTGCAAAATATTAGTCAAACTGATCCCAGAACCAGGATTTTCATATTTCTTTCCCCCTTCCCCTACCATTCGGCAAGGTTTGCCCAGACTGAGACCAGGACTGGAGCAAGGGAAAGCTGGGGGCCACTCGCATCTGGCGGCATAGCTCTAGATCGTCAGTTCTCCCTGATTTTTTTCCACCAAACGACCCTCCGGTGTCATCAAACATAGCAATGGGAAATCCAGCAAAAATGGAGGTTTCTAGCTGTGACAAATCATCGAACTAAATGGGTATCTTTTTCTATGGTCATGCTTGATTACTGGAGGGCAGCTAAGATTTAAAAAAAAATCACCATGGTTACCCTCTCGTCATTTAGCCATGAAAAATGATCCACTCAAGTAGATGATTCTCCCACATTTACCATATCCAGTTCGCTACGTATGTTAAATTACCAAAGGCTATACCACGTTGAATTATTTTAAATTACCATAGCGGCATAGCGGCTATACGCATTCATAACCCCTGGCCGGCACCCCTGGCTGTTCCCTTCACTCACTTCCCATCCGTCACATGGTCCAGCTGCCTGACTCCTCTTGCGATCCACCGCACGGTTCACACGTAGGTTGCCCAAGCGAAACATCGTCGACTCAGCGGTCCAAGATGACAACCAATGTCGACCCGAAGGGTTGGGGGATACCCTCTGCTTCCGAACATACCAGCAAATATTTGGTGATGAAATCTCTACCCAAATCATCTACAGTACATAGTAAGTTTTAATTGATCATTTTCTTTGGTGAAAATCGCTTCAAGACGCTCAGTCAGTTGGAGAATCCTTCTGAGAAGCTGGAAACTGCACTGGAAATGCCATGTTCTTAAGGAAGAGCGACAAAAACATCCCGCCGGGGCGGGAATGGAACGTGTAGGCGTTAGCAATTCACTTCTCGGCACATTTGAGCAACACTGGGATTTACCAGTGATTTTGTCTCTGGCGATGATGAAAAATGTCTAATTCTGGTTGCGTTTTCTGTTTTTTGTGTGTTTTACCTCAGCGACAAGCAATTTTTGTCAAAATGCCGTAACCTCCACGGATGCATCTCTGGGATCCGATGTGCCCATTTCCACAGCGGCGTGCGTTTTTTACTCGCTGACTTGTCTTGCCTACAACTTGGCCACTTGAGTGCCACACAGTTGAAACAAGTTGTCATGTTCAGCATGTGTGAATCTCCATTGCCAACTGCGGATACGCAAAGGTTTTTGTTTTGACTGAGAGCTGAGTGACTTTGGAGTATAAGATTTCATGTGCGTCCAGCAGCTGTCAATGGGAATGGAACATGTAGCGAAGCATGAAGTGCAAGTGAAGATCATGCAGCGTAGCATGAAGTGCAAGTGAAGATCATCTAGCGTAGCATGACGTATATGTGGAAGTGCAAGAGAACGTGCAGCAGCGTAGCATGACGTATGTGTGGAAGTGCAAGAGAACGTACTACAGTATGTGGTTGCAGTCGCAATGAACGTTAACATCGCACCCCACCCCACCCCACCTTCCTCAAATGAGCACGACTACACGTACGGTTTTTGACCCGGTGGCAAAAACATCATGCAAGACTTCCCTTGGAATGGTTGGTAAATGTTGGTAATGCTTGGTGGATGCTATGAATCTTCCCTGGCGTGATACATGCCATGTAAATGGTAGCATGCTGCCTAATACGCTGGGTATCAGTCCTTATCGCCCGAAGAGCGGGGGTGTCAGGATTGTTTGAATTCTGCCCATTTGTTGGATGATTCTGGATTAGGTCAAAAAGAAATGGAACAAGTCAGGTAATGTTTTTTTTTGCCAATCTTTATGCCAATCTTTGTATTAATCTATGGATATCTATGGCCAATCTTGGACACCTTGCAAAAGATCAATCTTTAGCATTCTTTAGCTAAGTATTACATATCCCTATCTGTGAGATATTAGAAATTTATCAAACTATCAAAGTCCGTAAGCAAGATTTGCCAACTATGTCCAGATGCTTTGCTGGTTGCATCCCCATGTTTGCTTGTCAGATTCTATCCACCGATACATTATGGGATCATTTGGGATTGCCAGTACCAAAAACATCCAATTTTCGCTGCCATCGTTTTTTCGCTATTCAACTTGCCTTTTTAGTGGACAAAACTCATTTCGGGACACACAATGACCTCACGTTGATTAGCCATTGACTGTCCAACAACTGATTGCCCGTGACATCCCATCCCAGACATCCCGAGCTTCCACACCCGAGAGACGTATTCCTTCAGCATCTCAGCCTGCTGGATTAAAGCAGGGCCACTTGTAATGTGGTTAAAACAATGTCATAAACTACCCATGACTGGGAATGGTAAACATACCACCTATAAAAATTGTGATTTGGGGGATGGTTTATTATGTTTATTATTGTTTTAAGCACATTATAATCTAAAGACATCTAAATACAGGATCCATAGATGCAAGCAGTTCGCAACTGGAGGGCTACACCTCCAACGACTCCAACGCATCCGGCTTAGGTTAGAGGTTCTATCCTTGAAAACCATGAAAACCCCGAAGTTGGTCTGTTCCTAAGGTCATTGTCATCTTCGAGTTTAGGGGCAGGTCAAATTGTGGGTTTGCCCAGAGATACCAAACCATTTGGAAACAACAAGGGGATAGGGTTGATAGGATTGGGAAGCCTGCAGATTGAGAAAAAAAACAGCTCCTTGATCAGAAAAGAAGCCCTGGGACTGTTGATTAAATCCCCAAAGTCTACCCCCATGGTTGAAACGATCCCCACCTCTTGATCCTCCAGAAACTCACATTTCACTCAGCCAAGCGGCCACGACACGAGGCATCCTCTGTTTGGCATCGCTGCCAATGTACAACACCTCGCGTGGTGTTTTCGTATTGGAACCGCTGCCGTGTGGCTGAGTCATGTTCGGGAAATCCAACCACAGCCACCTCCACCAGCGCGGATTCCGCTGAGACGGTAAAGGGTTCGACCTCCCCCAAAGCTGCCAGGGAACCTCGGAAAGATCAGAGATTTTCTGGGGGGGTGTTTTGAATGACGGCTATCTATATATCTATATCTATGTAGGTGGATTTTCAGCAACAAGGATCGTGATTGCACAACAGTGATTTGATGTCAAACAGAATTTAGATTTAACAGAAAGCAGCATAATGCGAATTTCATCTGAGTGTCTCAAAGAAGGGTACCCCTTAAAACTCATTGGTCTATGATGGTTTTCCCCTATTAAAACAACAATTTCAGTGCATTCCACATTGGCCAAACCCATATGAGTCGCAACCTTCGACCTTTTTCGACCATCCGAGCCCCGGACCAAAGACACCACCAAAGGCTAGAGCGCCTATCCTGCCGAGGTCCCGTGCAACAAAGATTTTCAGAAGAGCGAAGGATTCGATGAATGGAGGCTTTAATGGGAAATCATCTATAAACGATGGGATATTCACAAAATCTTGATGATATTCATGGCATATGATGATATACTAATGGAATATTCATGAAATATTCGTGAGTACCCTCCGGTAATCAAACATGGCTTGGCGGAAAATCCCCTAGTTCGATGATTTTCCTGGCTAAAAACCTTCCATTAACAGTTGATTTCCCAATTGCCATGGTTGATTTCCAGAAAGTAAATATATGTGCAACACTTAGTGGCATTGTCCTATCTAAATGTCCAAACTCTCAGTTCATTCCAACCAGCCCCTCAGTGACAGTGGTTCAATGGAATCAGAACTGTTTTCATTCCCAACATGGACCAGAGCCCTGCAACCCTCTGGACATCCCCAAACAGCCATGTTTCAAAGAACTGTGGAGCCCATCTATATAGTCTATACAGCCAAATTCCTCCTAAAATATCGTGATAAAATGTGATAAAGCGAGCTAATGTGTTTTCATCTTTTGGGGTGTTCTCATAAAGGGGCGACAGTTTTTTGCGGCACCTTCTGGTGATCTCTCTTTGCTTCACTTCACCTTGGTAACAATCAGGTGGCGAGCAGAAGAAGGTGTGGCTGTTGCGGGCCAAGATCTAGCCCATGTCTACCCTCTGACAATCAAACATGGCAATGGGAAATCCCTTATAAATTGAAGTTTTAATTGGAAAACCATCTATAATCTATAAATGGGGATTGTCCAGATTGTCATGTTTGATTACTTTAAAGGGTAGTCTATGTTTAAATGAAAATCCGATTTCACTTCAAGATGAACATCCGGAAGACAGCTTCAAACTTCAAGACTGGACAGCCATCAATGAGAACATAGTTTCATCCATGGTTTCATCCCCGAAACAAGAAAACAAAAAGGTGGGGATTTCTCAAACTTCATAGCCTGAAACCATCTGAAACAGATGTTCCTTATGCTTGGAGCCATCCCCTTCTGGAGTCAATGACCCATCTTGCCGACCCCCTCTTGCCTGCTGGCAAAACCGTACCAGTGCCAATTTCCTCGCGCTGCATTGCGCTGTGGCACCCATGGCATCCCCAAGGGGGCTCACAGCAAAATAGCTGGATTCCTAGCTGGTTTGAGGATGTTCATTCCTCCAAAATATGGAAAATCATCAGGTTTTTACCCATCATTTTTTTCGATGATGAGGTCAAGTGGCGCTTATCAAATGTGCTTCTCATGCAGAATCCAACCTGGAAGTCCGGGACGATCATCTCATTGGGAGGGCGCTGACTTTTCCCCATCTGTTTCTGGGTCAAAGTTACCCTCAGACCCCGGGGTTGAACCGTCCCATTTTCCTCAAGCACAGCCTTGACGCAGTCAAAGCCCGAGCGGAAAAAAACGGGGTTTTTCGATCGATTCGAATCCCATGTCAAATCATTGGATCTTGGTCATCTTGGTGGATCTTGATGATATATTTGGGTAAATATTTCACCAACCTGAAATAAGGCTATCTTGGGGATGATTCCCCTTACTCACCATGATTATAGTGAGGGAGATCAGTGAGTCGTGATCAAATTTACCCAGATATGTGTACACCGGACACAGGAAATCTACCCGTACCCACATGGCCACATGGCCTCATTCCAAGCATGTCTTGTGCAAGGTTCGGGGGCTGAACCTGGCATTTTTTCTGCAGCTTTCGAAAATGGGGGATACCTCGATTTTTCGTGACCAGTTCAATAGGAAACTTATGATAGTGCCATAGTGGTTTAGGATGGTTTAGGGGTGCCCAATTTTGAGATATACTCATGTAGGATATGCTCATGTACATTCATGTACGCTCTAATTGAACCACCTACGGCAGCAGAAAAACAAAACATGTTTTAGTAGGTCATCCATTTCACTTGCCTGGTTACTGGTTGTATCTTAGAGGCTCCAACTTAGAGGGCACATCAAAAAGAGCACACTCCCCACTCCTTTTCCGCTGAATTCTGCTCCGGCTGCATCTGTCTGGGAGCACTACATACTTTGCATCAGTTCCAGGTTGGCTCTTCCGGAAGGCGATTTACCGTCTGGAAAAGCCAGGTCAGAATCCCCGTATCTGCGGTTGACATGGATTTGTTTGTGTTTAAAGACTAAATGAAACTCCAATGTGCAAGTATTCATAAGTGTGGTTACCCTCTGGTAAATAAACTTGTTGACCCTGATTTCATCGGCCATTTTTAATGGTTTCACTAGTCTTCCAACCCCGACAACTGCCAGGGTCAACAAGTTAATTTACCAGAGGGTAGCCTCTGGTAATTTGTTACATAGCTATTGAAAATGACCATAGAAATAGTGGATTGTCCCATTAAAAATGGTGGATCTTTCCATAGTTTTTTGTATGTTTACCAGGCCGGGTAACACCATGGGTTTTTTCATGGTTTGCCCTTAAACCACCCAGATCTGCAAACGTTCAGAGCTTGGCCGCCAGATCTGTCAGTTGGAGATTCACCAGGCCCTGTCGTCACGGAAGTTTCTTCATGGGGAAGGACGTTCGGAACACCTTTGGAAGAAACGAAAAAAGTTTGGCTGTTCAACTACCTTCCCTGCTCTGTCAGGTTGGGAATTCTCTGTCTTTTCTGGCCGTTCATGCCCTGTTTGATTCGTTTGGCTTCACTTCAGGTCATCATATGTCTGCTTTTTTTGTTGCTTTGTGTACAGTAGTCAGATTTGTACCTGCGTTTGTTCCTTCGTTCCGTCATGAAATCAGTGCAGCTCCACCAAGAGGTGGGTTATAATAAATATATATATATATAACCATAGTTGTAGGGGATGTGGTCTAACTTATGGAGGTCCTTATCATAGTTTTATATATATATATATTATATTATATTATATTATATTATATTATATTAAATTATACTATATTATATTATATTATACTATATTATATTATATTATATTATTTATATTATATTATATATATACCCAAAAATAGCCCCTGGCCTGCAGCCCCCAAGAATTTTCATTCTTCCATTCACCAACAGATTACCATTGGACTCTGAGCTGCCATTCCAGAACTCACCAGTGCTGGTTGGCCCATAAAATTCCTCCACAAAGTCACGAGCCACGAAGGATTACGAAGGTACGAGGCAAATTTCCAAACGAAGTATTGAGGTACATAAATGGTACTAAACCAACCAGATCTATCCATGTTCAATCCATTTTCAATCCCCAGTCATTCATCAGCCTTCATGTCGTCACCCCCCGGCCTGAAGCTTCTCTAACGCCTCCAAGTACTGCTCTGGATGATTGTTCTCCACCAGGATGGTATGAATCCCTGGCCGGGTCCATCGATTTCGGTGTGCCACGTTGAAAAAGGTATCCATTGGTCCATTGCGCGTTGGATGTGTCCGCCACATCCGACGTTGGGATCAGCGGTGAATGGTCATCCCGGGACATCCCACTACGCTGGTCGGCAGTGATTTTTCAAGAACCGCCAGAAAATAGGAACGGCTCAACCCAAAAATAAAGCTTAAATGGCTGTGGTTAATATATGTTAATATCACCCGCTAGGAAAATCATGCACTGCGGTGAAGTAGTATTCCAGATCACAAGAACATATAACAGATCACTTCACAATAAAAACATACATCATATCATACACAGTATGACATACATAACATATACATAACATATACGACATATATAACACATCTATATGTATATATATAACAACATATAACAACTATTGTAATATCTGGCGTAACATGTTATAGATCCAACCCTTTGGCATAGCTATCATCATATGCAGCCACATAAATGGTTGCCCAATTCCCAGGTTGCATCAGCTGTCGCCGGTCAAGCACGACTGGCAGGCCCATCGCTGCTGCGGGCTTCCTTCGGTGGAGAATTTGCGGAATTTCGCAAGCTCCAAAAGGATTGAACAGTAAATCCTACTAAAAGTGTGATATATGACTAATTGGTGGTATACCTACCCCCTGAAAAATATGAAAGTCAGATTGGATCATCATCCCAACTATTGCGGAAAATAAAATTCATGTTCCAAACCACCAACCAGATGAAATGATAGGTTGCTAAAATATGACGTTTCCATTGTTTTGTGGGCTACTCTACAGAAAACCAAGAAAGCCCAATACTTGTCAAGTAAAACCAAGCAATTCCGCCCAGGAACACCGTGACGGTGTTCAGTTTTGGCTGTATGTGGGATTCACCCAATGTCATAAACCATCCCCGTTCCATCACCATTTTTATGGATAGGATTTCAACCATCCCCCATCATGGTAGGTGTAGGGTTCCCATATATGGTAGGTCCGGTAGGTGTTTGTGTGTTGTTTCTGAATCAGAACAGGATGCCTGGCACAGTGCTGGTAGACTTCTGGCGACGCACAGTGCTGGAAAGCATGACAAAGTGTTGTTGTGAAAGTAAGACCGTCAGAACAAAGCTTACATGCAAAGATGACAGGTGCCAAAAACTTTGTAAACCCGGAATGCACCAACAAAAGTCACGGACATCATCAACCCTCCACACAAGATATCGGCACAAGCAAAACCTAAGCTTCAAGTTCTTGCCAATGTCGTCCAAAAAGATTGCCTGGGGCAATTTTCGACTGGAGCTTCACACAATTAGCTTTTCATCAAGATGATTTGACAGGTCGTGACTTTGCCATGTCGATCAACAACAAGATATCCGTCACGTTCACGTTTCATGTCAAGAAAAGGTGGACCACTACCGAGAATGGCACCCAGTGATACCCAAAATCATGCTGCCCAGCGATCTGGCCTCTGCAATGATAAAACAAATGGACAAAGTCCATTTTCAGGGTGTACATTTCAAATCACTTATTTTAAAGCAACCAATCATTGGACTCATTCGAGTGTCTGTTTCTCATTGAATCCATCTTTGGCGATATTCTTTGGCTACTACCTTAAATATGAATGGTGTTTTAAGATATTGGCCAACTATGACAATTTTGACTCTTCGAAATTGATCGGTTGTCGTAAAGCAATATCCCATTCATCGTTGGGTTCGATGCCGGCCTCGTGCGCCTTGCAACCTGGAAAATCGTCGTCGAACTCAATGGGGAATCTTCCATGTTTGCCAGAGGGTACGTGTGGAAATTCATGTTGGACTTGGATTTAAATTAGAAAAGTAAAGTAGAAGTAGACCCATTTATTAGAAAGGCTTCCGGGGTCTAATTCATTTTTAAAATAGGAAAGTAGACTAAAGTAGACCCATTTTTGGTGTGTCGGAGTCCCATTGAAAAAAAGAGCCACAACTGGCTTCGATCATCCAGTGAGGTTCGATCATACTGGGAGTTTCAGAAGCCCTTCAAAGAGTCCTGGAAAATTCATGAAAATTCTGCTTGCAATTGCTCTAAATTGATGGTAAAAATTTAGGTCCTCTGCTTTGATACCAAATTTTGGATGTTAGGACATCTCCTCTGGTAGTCAACGGAAATACCCCGAAAGAAATTCGGATCCTTTAGTGGAAATGTGGCCCCTCGAAAAAAAAAAAATGGTGGACTGTCCAGCAAGCCATCTTTCAATGGATTGGTTTTTGAAGAATCGAAGCCGAAAACCAGGGATTTTCCTATTGACATCCCGAATCCCATAATTCGGCCTATGGTGTCTAAGGCCAATTGGTAAAACCTGGGGCGGAGAAAGCAATCATTTTGGACACCTAAACCACCAAATGAACATAGAGAAATGGAAAGTTCATGATTTATAGATCATGTATGGAAAAATATTGCTGGTCAATGGTGATGGAATGGTGGTTTAGTGTTGATTTACAGTGCCGTCTGGCAAGACAACAAAGCTATGGTACATTCACAATACGTATAGATGATCTTCCTATATTCAAAATAGGGATTTTCCAGAGCTACCAGTCCTGCTTGCATGACCAAGTTGACGGATTATTGAGGTTTTTGTTTATGAAGCGGGTATCAAGTTGTTTGCTCTGGAACTGGTTCAAGGGATTGCAAGGAAAAAATGGATTGATCGACAGAACAAAACGCCGTCGCTGATATCAACCCTGCAAAAATTAGTGGTGTCATGGCTTCAATTTGTTTTGTCCAACCAAGCGCATGATTTCATAAACCTTCAAACTTCCTGCTTTGCAAACAGAAAATGCAATGGAAGACCTGGACAGCTCGGAGTCCGTCAAATAATAGCCATCCCAAATAGCCAATTTGCCATGACTGGGCCAGTTGAAGTGAATAGATCATTATGCAGATCCCATATTTTCGACATTTTTCGACCAGGCTCTCTAGGTATCCAATAGGGGCAAGGGATGGATTGTGACCATCCTGGCCATCCTGTCGAAAATCGGTATACGAATCGATACACCAACATTTGGAACATATCTGAAAGCACCAGTTTCAACATGTTTCAACATGTTTCAACCTACAGTTTCAACCTATAGAAACTGGTTTTTTCCCCTGTTTTTTTGCTTGAAAATCATGTGTTTGATGCTTTGAAACCCAAGTGTTGGCCACGCCAAACCCCGAAACCATGGGGATTCAGCCATGACTAGGCGTCAGGGGATGAACGTCACTGGGATGACCATCCATGGCTATTGCACAAACAAAATTCAAGGAACCTCCAATCAATGGGAATTTCAAGGAACCTCCAATAAATGGTTTATCATTGGCTGGTTGGGGGTATATGTTTTAGAGAGTATCTTCTCTGTTCAAGCATCGTTCGGTCGTTGCAAGTACTTTCAATGGGAATTTCAGGATCCTAGATTGGAGGTACCTACCATATATAAGGCCTATTTTTCAGGGCTATGTAAGGGAATATCCCCACAATTCATATGGCCTTATATGGTACTAACGTACCTCCATTTTAGGATCCTGAAATTCCCATTGATCCAAGGAAAAAAAAAGTGTCAAAAAGAAACTTTGAAAAAACTCGAAGGTGCTTTTGGATGGTTTTCTGACAAAAAAAATGCACCTCCACATGGTTTTCTTTAATAGTGGGCACCTCCAATTTCAAACGTAAATCACTGGGGTATTGACCATTCAAACGAACATTCGCCATGGACAATCTACCATTTACCCTCTGGTCAACATACAAAAAACTATGGAAAATCACCAAGCATTTTTCATAGGTAAATCCACTATTTCGACTGTGCCATTTGAAAAACGTCGCTTTTTGTATGTTGACCAGGCCGGGTATCCATGATCTTCCCCATGGCTCCGCAAGTCCCCCCTGGGTCCCCTGGTACCAAGACACCCTGTCTCTGGCTTTCGCATCTTAGAGGCAGAGGACCTGAGGAGAGACCCATAACTGGGGCTATCCCAGGTGGTTTGTCATGGAAAATCCGAACAAAAAAATTGATGATTTGGGGTCTAACACCCCCATTTTAGGAGACCTCCATATGTATACATACTATGTTTATCTGACAACTTGTCTATATCATATGTGTATACTGTATACAGAGTTTAAAGCTATATATATATAATTATATATAATTATATATATAATTATATATACAATTATATACATATATACATAGGCATTTGTAATATGTGGATGTGTGTATGCAAAAATGCAATGTGAATCTATTTTCAGGTATACGGAATCACCACAATGTACAAAATATGAAGCGCAACAAAAATTTGAAGACATTGCAACAAGATTTTTTCAGTTGGCTGCGCCCTGAATCTCTCTGTACACCAAGTTGCTCAATGAAATGATCAAAGAGGCTTCGAAACCTGCCACCGCTGACATGATGAATTTTGAAGTGGCCACATGTGGCCACCCATCGCACTGCACATGCTACATGACTAGTATCAATCTGCTCGTGTCACCCAATTATGAGAGTTGCGAGTTTCAAGGTGCAAAGATACACATCCGATCTGCAAAATCAGCCGTGTGGCTGTCGGGTCACTTAGTGTTTATGTTAAATGTTACTATATCCCATAGGATCCATGGTGCTGCTATATATGGTAACATGGATCCCATCAATATGCCCCCAATGTTAGCATATACACCATACATGGATCCTATGGGTATGTACAAAGGTGTATCTTTGAAAGTTGATAAGACATTAATCAGAAGTGATCACGACGGCGGCGATCACGACGATGATACAGACCATGGTGAGGTCCTGTCATTATCATCATAAGCATGCATGACTATCATTCCTGTCATTGTATGTCATTGTCAATATTGTCCAGACATCCCTATCACAAAAAGCAAACTACCATCTGGTTATTTACATAGCCATGGAAAATCACCATGCTATTAATAGGTAAACCATCTATCTCTATGGGCCATCTATACCATGGCTATGTTAAATAACCAGAGTGTAAGTGTAACTTTGCTATACTATCTTCCTGACCCTATCATCATTATCATGTTTATGCCTACGGGTTGAAAACCGTCCGAGCGTTTTGGGCATTTTTATATATGTTCCTTGGGGTGGGGTGGGGTGGGGTGGGGTGGGGCAATAACGTTCACGTACTTGCTCACTCCCATGATGTTACGCCACGGCACGTTCACTTGCACGTGCGCACATACGTCATGCTACGTTGAAGATGTGTCACGTCACGCAGGGGTGGGGTGGGGTGGGGTGGGGTAAAAACGTTCACGTACTTGCGCACTCCCATGATGTTACGCCACGGCACGTTCACTTGCACGTGCGCACATACGTCATGCTACGATCAGTTGACATCTTGTCCAGAAAACGAACAAAAATTGAATGACCTCATTTGGACGTACGTTCGCACATGGCAGTGGCAATGGGAGGCAAATGTAGTTGGAAAAGCCTTGTTGGAGAAAACAGGTGCGTACTTAGCGAAGATGTAGAGATCACCGGAAAAAATGGCTACCGCTGAGGTTTTGGGCACGCTGACTTCCCAAAAGGAACCTTTTTCGCACTCCGACATGTCAACTATATACAGTAAATCCCAATGAAAATTCAAAATCACAATAGAATTGACCTTCATGGACAACATAAAAACATGAAAAAACACTGCGAAACGCATGATTGACTACTTGCCAGTCACATGAAAATGCTGTTTTTACTCGGCCCATTTCCAACCCGGCGGGATGTTTATAGTCACGATAAATTAGGATAATTCCGATTATTCCTCTGTCATTACTGATATCATAAAGGACTTACAATTGATCATGTTTTTAACTTTAATGATAAGTATGTCTTAGATATTAATAAGATGTCTTAAGATATCATAGACTTTCCTTTATGACATATCTTATGTTTTTATCTTATGAATAAGACATTGTATGTCTTTACGATGATTCCTTTATCAATAACTTTTCGGCATTGAAACCCACCTGGCCAGGGCCGCAGCTGCCGAAGGATCTTTGGCCTCGGCTGTTTCTCAGTATCCACATGGCAGCGGCGCTGATGTGTCCATGTTTAAACAATGGCTAAAACATGTATATAGTTGCTATAAATCACCATATGTAGTATCATTAAATGTAGTTACTATAAAATCATATAAAATTAATCAAAATCACCGCAATATAGTTTGATGATACTTACCATTGTTCATATGTAGAACTTTCCTAAGTCATGGTGCTACCCCCAGTCATCCACATCATCCAAGTTGACCATGACGACGTTCGTGACGACTAGTCTTGAAACAACCATGGTGACTTGGGATCCCCCATTACCCTCTGGTAAATTAACATAGACCCTGGCAGATAGGGATTGGAAGACTAGTTTCCATTAAAAAATTGTGATTTTCAGGGTCTATGTTTATTTACCAGAGGGTAACCCACATGGCCCATCTCCATTTTCTCCATATCTCTTCCTGATCGATGTCTGACTGAGAAGACTAGCTATAGATAGAGGGAATTCACCTGATCTAATCAACGAAATCAGGGTTGAAGTGTCAAAAACAGATTAAGGAAACCAAGGCAATAAAGAATGGAAATTTGGCTTGTCAAGACATGTATACAAATCTGGTGTACTACCCCAAAATTGCCATTTTTGCAGGGAGCATGATGCTACATCACTCAATTTGATGACATGTGGACTTTAAGGGTAAGATCCTCCCAAGTAACCGGTGGATGTATATTGTCTAGATCCATATATCATTCAATAAACCACAAATTTGTCCGGCTGGTGGTTTCAACCACTCTGAAAAATATTAGTCAGTTGGGATGATTATTCCCAATATATGGAAAAATAAAAAATGTTCCAAACCACCACACTTTCCACACTTTCGGGCTGAGTGCATGCTCGGAGTCTGGAGCGAAGCACTGGTGGCTAAGTTCCCAAACAAAGTCCCCTTTAGGGATCTAGCAGTCGCAGCTCTGGGCATTGCTTGGGCACGGGCAATGCTTTCAGAGCTCCTGCCGCTCGCGTACAAGGTGCAGTAAGTTCTTGTCCAAGCCAAGAGTCGACTATCTGAACGGCATGTTTGGCCCAAGGAAGTGCAAAACATGGGACATATGCCTGAATCATCTGAGAAGCAGGGCGGCATTGATCCATAGTGGCCTGAAGGCCTCCTTCTTTCCAGATCGCTTTCAGAAATTGTCTGAACCACCTCACCCGCGTTCGGAACGGGATAGTGGCCACTGTCAAATATGGCCTGGACGACAAGTCCACCCACTGTTGTTGTACCCGAAGTGGTCCCGGGTTGCTCCATGTCATCTGATAGTCCAAATATAATTGCGTAAAGGACAACCATTGCGGTTCAGCAGTGTCATCTGTGACCAACCGAGCTTCCAACCACCGCATTGCTCGAGTCACATGCGCTGTGCCGAACAATCGGGCGGCGTTCGGAACCATCTGACCAGTCCAATTGCCAAAAGCAAAACAAGGAACAAACTCTCTGGTAACCCTGGGCCCCTGCTCAATGACGTCTGTGATGTCATTCTGTGCGCGCACATGCCTTTTCCCAATAGCAAGTTGAAGGGCTGTCACCTGCTGTGCAAGCCTGCGTGCTCGCTCTGTAGCCTGTACATGTTCTTCCCAAAACTGCCAAAAAGCTTCAGAACGCGCCTGATTGGCTGTCTTCGCTGCTTTATCAGCATACCCATTGTGAAAGAACTTCCAAACTTCAGCCGCATTGCGAGCACTTTGCAGAGTGCGATGCGCCTCGACCTTCTTCACCTGCAGGTTCTCTGAGCCCAGGGCATCTACGGACACAGCAAGCCAAGTCCACAAGTCACTGTTAGGGCGGTTGACCCCTTGTTTCAGCTTGTTTTTGCAGAGCAGGTGCAGTTTGTTAACAACCCCAAGACAATCTGACCAGATTCTCACAGGAGCGCCATAAACAGAAGCCCAGTGCACAACATAAGCCACCGCAAACAACTCCGCACGGAACGCAGACTGACAAACACCAGGCAAGACGGAGGCACACAGGACCGCAGTCGCCTCGGGAGTCCATGACGACTGAGCAGACGGAGCCAAAACAGCAGACCACGCAGCGACACGGTACATGGGTTCAGACTGCCACATACAAGATCCATCCGTGAAGACATCGTTCCATTGACCGGGAACAAGGTTCCGAGACGGGGCCAACACCTGTGACGGCAATGCAGCAAGCAAGGAAATCCAACGCTGCCATGTCGGAGGAAGCAAGGCCCATCCACGCAAAGACAGGGCTGGGGGTATGGACTCCCACACCGGAGTGGCATCAGGAGCAAGCTCGGCACGCAAGTCAGTGTGCTGACAGCACTGCCAGTAACGATGAGCCAGCGTGTCTGTTTGGCCACACCAGCGACATTGGTCAGATTGGGGAGTCCATTTGGATTTGTACGACTCTGTGAACAAACCACCAACCAAACCAAACCGCAGCAACGCTTGATCATCAGGAGGCAATTCACTGAGGAGACTCCTCGTGAAAGCAACATCCACTTGCCAGATTCCAGCGAAATCGGTTCTATGACTGACTTTGGCCGCTACGACTTGGGTCCAAGCCCATTGCAATCGCAGTTCAAGCTCGGCATAGTTGCAGTTGGCAAGGGAGAAACATCCAAACCGGTCATGGACCTGACCCCACCTATCCACCTCAAATCCAACCTGTTGCAAGCGGGATAACAAGATTGAAGCAACGGTGTTGGGAGGTAAGTCCAACTCCCCATGGGCAACACATGCAACTGAAGAAGTCCAAAAGTCCATATCACAGTTGGCTCGGGCAGTACGGCAAGTCCAAGAAAGAGCAACCAACTGAGGGTCTGTCCACGGCTCTACCAAACCAAGCAACACATGTGCATTCACGCCTGGCTTTTGGAGGGCAAGGGCCGACTTGGTCCGTCTGCGCAATTCAGTCCAGATGTGATCACCCAAGGGCGCACTGGCGACAGCATGCAAACCTCTCGGCCAAGCCACTGCTCGCAACATGTAGACTTTAGCTTTGTAGCGGGCTTTGCTGGCCCTGAGTTTGGGCCAAAAGTCTTCGAGGGCGGCAAGGCGCTGGGTAACCGTCCGATTGGTGAACTGTCTGGACACACCAAAATGGCCTCCAAGTTCTCTGGCATGGTGAACCACCTGAACTCCATGTTCCCGGAGGGTCTGGCGCACTTCAGCATTGGTTGACCAGGCCACTGTCTTCTTGCGGTCGATCGTAAGATCAAGCAAACCAGCAAATTCCACTACCAACTCCAGTTGTCGAACTGCAAAAGTGGGATCCCAAGCAAAGACATGCCAATCGTCAACATACGACAACGACCGCACTGGAGCTGCTTGGTACGAAATCCAACAGTGAAAGAGGTGGTCAACCAACAGCATACCATACACACTGAGACCACAACCCTCGGCCAGACCAGTGGATGTCAGAAAGCCTGCAGAAAAGGACTCACGGACCTTGAAGTGCCGACGCATCTGAGCCAATCCCCCTGCCCAAGCTGTGGTAACAGCATGTGGTGCACCTGCAAGAACAGCCAAACACAACGCTGGAAAACGGGGTATGCAATTGAAGCACTTCTCGATGTCGGCTGAGATGCCGCTGATTGGCTGGTTGGTACTGTACGCATTTTCAATTTGAAGCAAGAGATGGTGCCACAGGTCAGCTGCTTGTCTGCCTTTGCGATTTCCGTACACCCCATCATGAACCCAATCATTGGCCCACCCAAGGAGGTGTCTGGATTGGAGACTGGACCATGCTCTGTAAGCCAAGCCAAAAACAGTAATAGGCCTGTAATCGCCGGGGCCTGAAGCTGAAGGCGATTTGGCCAACGAGTGCACTTTGCCTGACAGCAGTTGTTGGGGCCAACTACCGTCGGTTTCTGCCCGTCGGAAGGCATTGACAAGGCTCTGCAACGTGCCATCATCAGCTTGGATCAGGTCATTCCTGCTGACGCCATCCAGACCGGTGGCTGCATGTTTCTTCTTCCGGTGAACTTCTGCCCGCAGGAGGTCTACATCCACTGCAAGATGAGGGATGGCAACAGGCTGCAGTATGGCACTAGCAAATCCCAGCAGCTGATCCCATTGTCGGAAGGACGTGTTGTCATGTCTGCACCATCGCTGTTGCCACTGAACATGAAAGGCTTCAAAAATTGTGCGCAAGTCACCGATGGGTTCTGACTGAACTACAGCATCGCCTGACATAACATGTTCAAGGTCATCAAGCCAGATCTTGTCAGCTTCGGCATGAATGACGGTTTTGGCAGAGCCCCCAACCCAGACAGGCATGTCAGCTCGCACAGCGGTTGACATTGGCAGAGTGATGGCACATTCAAACTCGTCTACCTCAGCGACTTGACTTTGGACCTGGTGCAAAAGGGACTCGACAGGTTCAGCAGGTGCTCTCGCAACATCTTTAAACACCAAGGTGCGATCAGCATCATGTTGGGCAACTCGATGCGCAGCTCTAGCTTGGGTCAGACGCTGCTCCAGAAGGCGAACTTCGGCTACCACTGCATCAAAAACATGATGGGCAACACTGGACGACGGGCAAAACTGGGGCATGACGGCGGGATCAGCAGGGCTAACATACAACCGGTTAGGCCACCAAGCAGAGAAGGTGGGCGCAAACCCTTGGGCACGCAGCACTGAAGTCCAAAGTGCAATTCCATGCGTGGTGTCAACTGTTTTACCAGCTTCATGATTATCAACCCATCGGCAATAATTTTGCAGGCGCCGAAGTTGCTTGAACTGTTTGGCATGAATGCTGGAAAAACCAAAGAACGTAGGTTGGGCTTCATGCTTCCTACCTTGCTTCAGTGGAGCGTGTCTACCGACCACATGCTTAGGACATGTTTGCTGGCCTCGACCTCCCATGGTTGGATTCCATTCTGCAGCAAGTGTTTGTTGAGCCATACCCTCCCGCTGAGTCCAAAGGGCAGCATACTCTGCAGTGGGGTCAGTGGCATCGTGAAATCCAAAGGCAGAACAAAGGGGGGGCACATGAGTCCAGTCAACAGGTTTGGGGCATGGCCAAATGAACCGCTCCATGTGATGCACTCCACCGGCAAAACGTGCAACAAGCACAGAGTGATCAGCAAAGGTTTCGTGATCAATGGTCAAGTCCAAGAAGGCCAAAACAAGTTCCGGGGACAACCACAAATGGTCTTTCCTGGTGACCCCTTTGCATGTGGGCTGAACTGGGGCGCCAGTACGTGCTTGGAAAAGGTCCTGCACTTCAACCCAGCCTGCAGCTTGAAGACGGGCCACAACCTCAAGGTCAGATGGCTCAAAATTCCAATCCCCGCTGAAGAACCTGGGTCCATGCAGAGTTTGAAGATGGCTGAATGCAAAGTCCAAAAGTTGCTCAGTCTGGTGGTGAGCATCAGCATGTTTTTTCTTTGCAGGATAGCCATACACCACTGCACCGGTGGCCCACCCAACACTGGTAAAGAAAGACCCAAATTGGATGCGGCTGGTTTCATACACATCAGGCGGCCATGGCGTGGCCACTGTTCGACTTGGCACTGTAGCAGCAAAGGCCACTCCGGCATACTGCCCAGCTTCACTGGAATTGGCTCTGGCAGCAAGTGGTGCACCTGTCAGCACCTTCTTGTATCGGGAACTCATCGCTTTCAGGCTCGTGGCAAAGCCACGTGTGGATCCTTTGGTCAAGGTGAGACTCAGAAATGGCTAACACGTCGGCATCTATGCTGTTCAAAATCTGGTATTTCCATTGTAATCCGCTGGGATTACAAATCCCGATCGACCAGGTGGTGTCAACAGCTGGGCCTGGGACTTGTGCTTCGCCAATTCTGCAACAAAGCAAAAGGCACACCATCGTGAAAAAAGCCCTGAACGGCCAAAATGGCCATGGGAACGCCCTACGCTTGGGCCATTTCGTAGGGTTCCCGGACCTTCATTCAGTCCTACTCTTCTTGGACAAAATGGTCTCTACGCGAGACATTTGATCCGACAACATGTTCTGCATCTGCTTGGACTGGAGGTCCATTTGCACCAGCATCTGTTGTTGTAAGGACTGAACCTGTGCAGTCTGCTGGGTGTGGTTGTCGGTGACGACATGCTCCAACTGCGTTTGGCGGCCAGCAAGTTGTTGAACTTGCTGTTCCAACTGCACCAAGCGTTGGTCCTGATCGTCCACTTCCATGGTCTCTGCAGCTTGAGGGATCTTGGCCAAGATGCTACGTTCCACTCTGTCCTCCAATTCCTGCAGGACGTTGGCGGTCGGCATCGGTGTGGACACAACTGGTGCATTGGCCAATGCTTTCTTCCATGGGTCATGGGTCAGCCATGGATCACTGTCTCCGGTCTCCGGAACTGAGCACAGTCGCAACGTTGCTGCTTGGCCAACCACTTGCTGCGGCACATCACCCGGTGGCTGCTGAGGGTCATGCCTGGTCAAAACCACTTGTCCATGCTGCATCGCCAGCACATTGGATGGAGGCTCACAAATGGCCTGCACTGCCCAAACCAGTCCTCCAGTGACGTTCTGCATGGGCTGCAGCGGTCGGCACTCCCAACCCGATGCTTTCAGGGCACGAGCGATGCTCTTGCGATCGCAGCCATATGGCCAAGGGCCAGTGTGGTAGGTCAATCTGGCTCCAGGGGCAAGGTATACAGCGTCCGGTTTGACACTTGCAAAGACTTCCTGAAAATGCTTGGCATGGACTCGCAGGCCATAGCGGCGACCAGTGCGAGCAATTCCAACACAGTGTGCCTCAACCTTGGCTTTGTGGGAGATGGCTGCAAAATCCAAGCTAGGAAGCCAGATCACCTGGTAATCATCATGAGGCTTCATAGCATCTTCGGTCTTGGGTTCAACAAAGACACCTTGGCGGCCGCTGGCAGACAAGACTTCAGGCTCCAACGCCTTGACGTACCTGATCAGGACTGCGAAGTAGGATGCTTTGTCCCACTTAGTTGGGCGGCCATTTTCACCAAAAAATTGGCGCCTGAAAACATCAAGCAGTGCATCATGCTGGGCGGATGTGGGCGGATGCCACGCAGGACACTGACAAACCTGGTTACGGCACGTCTGCAGGCACGGAATGCTGGCCAAGACATGCTTCACTGGTCGATTGGCAAAGTCTTCCCAACCTTGGTCCCAAAGATCGGCAAACACGGTGATGCGGGCACAGGCAACTTCTGTGGAGACGATTGCTGGCAAGTTCTTGGCTTGGAACTGGTACACTACCTGACGGCCTAACTGAACAAGGGCTCCTGAGAGCAGCATTGGTTCTTGGTTGTAGGCACAACGGGCAGCAAACCTGAGTGTCGACCATTGCAAAGCAGTCTGCATGTCATTGGGGGGATTCAGAATCAGCAAGGCAAGTCCACCATGTGACAAAACCTGTCCAGACTCCAAAAAAGGAACTGCATCCTGATACGTGGCCAAGGCTACTCCGGCTGACAATGGTCCAAGCGTAGCAAAAGGTGTTTGTGCAAGTGGTGCATCTTCACCGACACAGAAAGCCCCAGTCTCGATGACAAGCTTGGCTGGGTCAAGTTCTGCCGGACGTGCTGGTGGTTGGCGTTTGGTGCCTCCACTCGACTTCTTGGCTGGCTTGGCAGTGCTTTGTCTTGCAGCGACAAGCCGGGCCTGCTCATCTGCGAGTACCAACTGGATCGCTGGTGTATGCAAATTGGCCAACTGCTTGAGCGACTTCCACGGAGTGACTCCAGTGACCGCTGTTTGCACTTCGTTCTTGCCTAAGCTTTGCAAAACCATCTTGGCTCGAAGTCCACATTGAGCTGATGGAACACCGTGCAATTGCAAAAGGCTGGAGACCAAACTCAACACGTCAGGGACACCCAGACCCCAACACCAGGGGCGAGGAACTTCACTGGATGAGGCAAGGGCAGCTTGAAAACTCAGTTGAAGATCACTATGGATACCTTGGAGAGCTTCATCAGATTCCGGCAGAGGTTTGTGCAACAGGACATGAGCCAGGAAACAAACTGCCGCTGTTCCGCAGTGGTCTTTGGCAAAGGATCTGCGATTGCAGGCAAGGGCAAACATCGGCTTGCCCCAAGCTTGGCTGATAAGTCCATGGAGAGGGCACAGGCTATCGACAGCTACTTCATCATGTTCCCACATGGACACCTTCACTTCAGTCAATCCACAAGTCCAAACAATAGGAAGCCAATGCCCTTCATGCAAGACCACACTGACAATGCTCGTGACAGGATCACTGAGTGCCATCCACGCTCGGACATGATCGACTGTGCCAAACCGCAACCAACCAGAAGCAAGCAAAGGGTCAAGGAACCGGACATCAACTCGGGCAGACAATTTGAGGCATGAGAACACATGGAGAATCACCTCATCATCACCCATGGCAGCACCTTGATTGTTCAATAGCTGTTGACGTGACACGCTAGCAACGGTCATCTGTCTCAACCGAGCACAGTGAGCAACATCGGCAACCAAGGGTGGAACCAAAGCAGCAAGTTGCACGCCAGACAAATGTGAAAACCCATACAAGGCATCCGGGGAAGAGGGGACTGCATCAACCCTTTGTCTCTTGACAGAGCTATCTCCTGACACCAAGTCACCACTTCCTGCTGCAGGCTCAACTGTGGGTTCAGCACAAGGTTCAGGGGCAGCAACGATGGGAAGATCACGCTCAAGTTGGGTCAAGTCCACCGCGTCAGGCAATGCATCAGAAAGTCCAAAGTCCGAAGTAGTGTCCCCAACACAGAGAGTCAAACCATGCACATTCTCATGTTCAGCAACTGCAAGTCCTGTGGCAGCATCAGTCCAAGCTGCAGTGGAAAATCCAGTCAAAGCATCATCGGCTTTTTGCAGTTGCTGGACGGTAGCATCTACGCCAACCTTGACAGTGACCTGAGTTGAGTCAGGGTACCTAAGCACGACATCAGCAGGTTCAGTGTGTGCTACCGCAGGCATGCATGTAGGAGCCACCTTGAAAAGATCTTGGGCAGCATCGTACAACCTTTGTTTGAACTTTTGCAAACCGCTTTGGGGGGAGGCAAAATCCATGGAAGTCCCAAGTGCCATCGCAACGTGCTGCTTGATAAAACTCCCAATCCACAAAGCTTGGAGTGGCGACGCAAGTTGTCCTACTCCACAAAGGCACAAACGCAACCCTGGGTGATCTGCCGAAATCCAAGTGGCAGGTGGTGGAAGGCCATTGAGGATGGCCAGCTCTGCTGGATGCAAATGGCGGTACCTGGGCTCACCACTGCTAGTCGGGACAGGAACTACCACGGCATAGATTCCTCTGGATAACACCAATGCATCACTGAACCCTTCAGACCTACAAGTGCAGGGGCATGGGTCTGCAGGGCTACCCCAACTATGCAAACAGGTCGACAACTTCTGGTCAAGCTGAATGACATACTTTCTCATGTGGGAACCATCCAAAGTGAATTGCTTACATTCATGTGGCTGCAGCATGAGCTCCTTCAAGACGTCATCAGGCCAAACCGGCAGCACTGGAAACAAATCTCGGACCACCAAACTGGCTGACTTTGGCCATTCTGGGATAGAAATCTTTCCCAATGCGGGGTGTGATGCCAAAAACCACCATCGAAAACGTCGTGCAGCCCAAACATCCTCAAGTTTCAGGGTGAGCTCAGTTACTTTATACCCCAATTCCCTTTCAAGTGTGGCCAACAGTGATCTGGCATACTGGTTGGTCCTGATTGGCGGTACACACTCCAACAACAGGAGCGGGCATTGAAACAAGTAACATGCTCGCAAGGTGGCAGGCAACGTGTTGGATCTTTCATCTGAACTCCCGCCTTGTGACCCTCCTACAGAGTATGGCTGGCAGCTGATGCCGGAGACCAACATGAACGGAGGTTCAACGATCTGTGCAACTTGCTTCAAGACAGGGATGGCACCGATGTCACCTGTGACGACTGGGACTGACGGATGGACGGTTTCATGTACCGCAACAAGAGGGGCACGCCATTCAACACTGCACGCAGGGACAAAACCAGCAGACGCAAGTCCAACGGAAGTAGCACCAAGACCCGCACAGAATTCCACCGAGCGACTAAGGTCAGAGCCCGGGCGAAGTCCATGAGCAAGAACCATGCTTTCATCAGTCAGCAAAAGTTCAGCATAGGGAGGCACCAAGTCAAACACAGCATCAAGAATTGTCAACCTGCGGCACCCTCTGATGCGGGGGTCAATTTCACCAAAAATCTTCACTGGCTTACCATCGGGAAGCGACTGTCCCACAATCAGTTCATTGGTGTAAGCGACCCCATCAACAACAACTGAAACCTTGTCACCCTTACACAGTTTCATCCATGGGGGGTTGAACATGTCATGCTCGAAAACAGCAGTGTCCCACTCCGTCCCCATGGCAACAGCAAATGAAAGTAACAACTGCTCAAATTGGCACGCGTCAGCCCACCTTGGACTGACAGGTTTTGAGCCAGGGCTTGTTCCAAACCACCAACCAGTTGTCAGTTTCTTCAATCCGTTCATGTTGCTGATTTTTAATAGATGCACTCATGTTGATTATTGACAAGTTCTTTACTTCATGAAAGGGTCCTGTTTCAGGGGGAGCAGGTCGAGCTTGAGATGTGTGTGAAGTTTCAGGAGCCTCTAAAGTCACATAGATGTGAAACACCCATGATTTTTGTAGATGGTTTTTGTAAGGAAAACAGTGGTTGTCCAGTTGTCCAGTTGACCACGTCTTTTTGTACCTGAGGTTAAGATTCAGGTGATGCCAGCAGCATCTGCAACATGTGTTTTTAAAAGGAGTTTTCGCACAGGTTCAACAACGTAGTGAAGATTTCATGGCTACTAAGTTGCTAGCCATTGTGAATATGATATAATAGTTCATGTTCAATACATTTCAATACTACATCTTCATTTTTTGTTCAGGCGAAAAATATTTGAACATGTCATGGTCAATCTTCTTGCAGAGGGTAACAACGTTGTTGCCCAAGGAGGGCCCCAAGGCGGGCCTCCGCGAAGTTATTGGTCAGCGCGGCCACCACAAAACCGTGTTGTCGCAACCTCCGACGGCTGAAAAAAGGGGGAATATCATGGAGTTGTATCCAATTTATAGTTTATCATGGTTAACTTTGCATTGGGATATGATCAGGTTGCAAAGTTAATGGATTGTAATAAACTACAATGGGCTTATGATCAGAGTCACAGACTAAGATCAAGGACATCAACGGGGAACAGACGCTTTCAGAAATGGGCACGGGTCTAACATAGTGGGTATCCACTGGTAATTTAACATAGCTAGTGAAAATACCCCACAGAAATAGTTGATTTACCGAATTTACCTATATATTCAAAATGGTGATGTTCTATAGCATTCTATAGCTATGTTCGTTTACCAGAGGCTATCCACTTCAGCCCTGGCAGTTCCTGCCTCTGAATGGCTTGCAGCATCACAGGTCTCAGGTTCGCCTAATATTTTGGGAGCCGTTGGATGGCTCATGCTAGGGTGGCCACTGGGGAGCCAGGCAGGATGCCAAAGTTCAGTGCTACCCTCTGGTAGTTTGTTACAGTTTGGTATTGAAAATGGCTCATTCACAGTTGATTTACCCATTCCAAACGGTGATTTTCCAGTTCGCAAAATGTGAGTTTACCAGAGGGTATAATAATTCACTAACCTGAATTCTTGGGCCATAAAAGGGGATGATTTTCCCTATAAAAACCATCTTGGAGACTTGGATTACCTATGATTCACCTTTTTGTATGATGGTCGATGTGGGTCCATGCTTCCAGCCTGGTCCGAAACACATCGGAGTACATCGACACATTCACATTCTGCAATGTGCACCAGCGAAAGGTGCATTAAGGATAGAGAGAGAGAGAGAGAGTAAACCATATCCTGATGATTGGGTATATCTTTATGGAAAAACCATTAAGGATATAGAGGTGCATATGGGTATATCCTGATGATTGTGGCTTTTCCATCTTTATTTTGAAACGGAGTAAACCATCTTTTGAATGAGCGAAAGGTGCAGCTCCTCAAAATGGTTGAAACGGCATTTCCGCCACCTTCGAATGATTTTTTTCATACCGAGTCACAACGCCTCGAATGATCTGCAGCAATTCCCGCCAACCTTCCTACCGGATGCAACTGGTTTCAGCAAATCTGAAAATCCAATCATGCCATTCAGACCTCCAAAGTTTCTTTCAAGATGAAGACATGCGGTGGATGGGCCAGCGAAATCCTGCACCACCAAAAGGATGGTTGAAATCCTAGAAATAATGGGATTAACCACCTATCAACTGGTGCAGGATCTCTTCCATCCACCGTATCATCCACTTCAATCTTTGGCATGGTGGCAACCGCGCTCTACCCCAAATGTCTTGCCATGACTGGTCATGGATGCCTTTACTCATTTGACGGCTGTACTCCAGAGCACTGGCAGCGTACAAAACGCAGCACTTGGGCATCAGGCAAACCAACATCTAACATCCAGCTCTTCCACTTTTGGAAGTACCATGATGTACAATACCCATGGTATACATGTATGTATATATATATACACACATATAGCTTTCAGCCACGACACATGGCTTATATGCACCATGATGTACATCTGAGTTTCTGTCACATGTTCACATCTTTTGAGATCGCGTTGCAGCCCGTTGCAAGTGAGATTGGAAGCTCTCAAAACACATTCACCCGAAGCTTCAACAAACTTCACCCTGGGAAACGCACATCTTCATCACTTAGGCCAAGAAACCAGGCCCAAGTTGATGCCATCTTGGACTCCACGCTCCTGACCTCATCCATGATCCATGGTCCCTTCCTGGGAGAAAACCATGGAAACCATGGCAGCTACCATGGATGCCAAACATCAAAGTTTGGTACATTTGGAGAGATTTGGCATCTAAGATTTTTTTCGTCAAAACCATGGTTAAGCCAAAATCATCCAATGCTATGCACACGACCCCAAGTCCCACCACAGCTGGGGCCAGCCACATTCCTTGAGCGCAGCCTCGTGTCACCGCGGTGTATGGTCATCCCGCCCTATAATGTTCGCAAAGCAATAACAAGACACTCATATTTTGATGGTGTTTATATATATATATATGTTTATATATGTTTATATACCATCCAAAAAAATATACCATCCATAAAAATTTAATCAATTTGGGGATGGTTTACTAAAAAGCTAACATCATTGGGAATCCTGATATTATATGTGGCATTCGAATTTCGCATTAATGGTCTAATATGACTCTCTCCCAAGGACTGGGTGCATCCGACAAACTTGACCACTTGATGGCACATGTTGGTGGGTACAATCTACACTCAGATTTTTTGTCGAAAAAATATGTTGGTAAAACAATACCAAATCACCATTTTTATAGGTGGTATAATAGAAACCATTCCCAGTCATGGGTGGTTTATGACATTGTTTTACCAACATTACTTGAATTCTCATTGTTTCAAGGGGACCCAGAAGTTTGCTAACCTGGCGGCTGGTTCATCAAAACCTTGGAAGGGGATCTGGCTCTAAAAAAACCACCAGCACCGGCCAATGGGGATCCCCCGGTGCTGGCTACCCGTCTGCCCCAATGGACCAACGAAGAGGGCCTCTGGAAAGTCCCGAAAGGCCTAGCACGGATGGAGCATGGGTACCCCTAAATCATCCAGATGTTTTTTTTCGGATTTTCCAAAGATAAACACCATCGATTTGTGGGAATCCCCCATTTATGGAAACCTCCATATAGGAATTATATCTGCATCTGTCGAATCACCATAGTACACAGCCTTTGTGATGGTTCCCATGGACAAAATCCGGTGTCACCCCGTGCATCCCTACATTTCTAGGAGCATCCCAGCTGCAGGGAAAAAAGTCCTAGAGCTGATGGGGAGACTCACCATTCTCAAAAGGTAAATCAACTGACTATAAATGGTCCATTTTCAATCTAGCTATGTAACAAATTACCAGATGGTAATTTGTAGAGTTCTGACATGCTCTGATATTCTGACTGGTGCCTACTCAAAGAAGGACACAAACATGTGCCTCAGATGACACAGAAAACCCTCCACCTTCCTGTATCAAGTTGTTCCACAACAGCAAGACATTGCTGAAAATAGGGATTCCTAAATCTCCGCCAGGTTTAGGGCCTTTTTTCCACATCTTCCCACATGTTCCGTAATTAAGTGTTCGGTGATATTTTCATGGCCATAAATTGGCGGCCCGGCCCATCCGGACCCATATAGATCTCAGCTCCGCTGGGGTACAGTTGATCATCTACTGTACTAACCATCCCTTCAGAAATGCTGTGTGTAGTAATCGGTGTGATTCCCTATATCCGAACTGGTAATTGTTCACGGATGTTCACGGTCTGCGAACTGGAAAATCACCCGTTTTTACCGCTAAACCATCATAAATCATCTAAAGATGAGCCATTGTCCATAAATAGCCAGAGGGAAAATTCATGTAAGTTCATGCAAATTCATGTAAATATTCTATAAATATTCTGGTTGGTGGTTTCAACCAACCCCTCTGAAAAATATTATATAGTCAGTTGGGATTATGACATTCCCAATATATGGAAAAATAAAATTCATGTTCCAAACCACCAACCAGAAATTATCCCAAATCGTAGGGGCAAACCCAAATCATGACTAAAATACTAAACACCAGGTTTATGATCATGTCTATAAATCGTCTATAAATATTCGATGTACCCAGCCTGGGAAACATACAAAAAACTATGGAAAATCACCATTTTCTATTCATGGGAAAACTCACTATTTCGACTGGGCCATGTTCTATGGTCGCTTTTTGTATACCCTCTGGTAAACGTTTACATAACTATGGAAAATCACCATTTTCTATTCGTGGGAAAACTCACTATTTCTATGGCCATGTTCTATGTCGCTTTTTGTATGTTTACCGGGCCGGGTATATCCATCATATATCCTCAGAAATCCCATTGAATCCCATTGAATCCCATTGAATCACCATTGAATCACCATTGAATCCCATTGAATCACCATTGAATCACCATTAAAACACCATTAAAATCCCATTAAAACACCATTAAATCCCATTAAAACACCATTAAATCCCATTAAAACACCATTAAATCCCATTAAAACACCATTAAATCCCATTAAAACACCATTAAAACCCATTAAAACACCATTAAATCCCATTAAAACACCATTAAATCCCATTAAAACACCATTAAATCCCATTAAAACACCATTAAATCCCATTAAAACACCATTAAATCCCATTAAAACACCATTAAATCCCATTAAAACACCATTAAATCCCATTAAAACACATTAAATCCCATTAAAACACCATTAAATCCCATTAAAACACCATTGAATCCCATTAAAACACCATTAAATCCCATTAAAACATCATTAAATCCCATTAAAACACCATTAAATCACATTAAAACACCATTAAATCCCATTAAAACACCATTAAATCCCATTAAAACACCGTTAAATCCCATTAAAACACCATTAAAACCCATTAAAACACCATTAAATCCCATTAAAACACCATTAAATCCCATTAAAACACCGTTAAATCCCATTAAAACACCATTAAATCCCATTAAAACACCATTAAATCACATTAAATCACATTAAATCATGGGAAAACTCCCATTTACCGGGCCGGGTCAACTTGACCCAACTTTTTGGCCGGGCCACCATCTGAGCACGTTCCAGGCGATGCCAGGCGCTGGAGGAAAAGAGGAAACGGTTCAAGTCCTGGGTCCATCTGGGGCCCGTTGCCGTGGTAACGCCGAATTTTTTTTTAGTGGCTGAAAAAACTATGGTTTATGGTAGATATATGTAGATATGGGGATGGGTCAAAACCCTATCCCCCTGTAGTTCACATCAAAATAGCTGGGATTTATGGATGTTCATCCCCCTAAAAATGGTATTAACAGGTATTGATCCATACCCATATATGTAACAAACTATGGTTATATGGTAGATGTAACAAACTATGGTTATATGGTAGATATAACAAATTGATTTTGTATGGTTTATGGTGGAAATGTGGGTTTGTTATGGTTTATAAACCAACTTACAAACCAATCTATGAATTCCCAGGTCAATGGATTGGTCTTCTTGGGAAGATCGAAACCGGAAACCATGGTTTTTACCATTCAATTAATGGGGTTTTCCGGTTTCAATTTTCCCATCATCCAATTCTATGAACATGATATCCCCATCAACTGGCTGGTTTTATGATGTTTTTATGCTAGTCTGGCAAGATCCTGGCACCCTAGCCCAACTAAAACCGCTATGGATCTTGATGGATCGTTATTCCCCCCAGTCATATCAGGTTCTGAGTCATCCCGATCTGGAGGTTTCTTGACCATGGCGAAACTCGACACTTGAAACCATGGTGATGACTCAGGATCCATCCCTTCACCATGACAGAAACCCTCAAACTCCACCGAAAAAGCCCTGGGGTGCAGACAGCCAGCTGCCTCTGTTGGCAGAAGAGCCTGGATCTCGTCTGGATCTCGTCTGGATCTCTAGGGACTGCTTGGATAACTTGTGGCCGCTAAGGCCACGTGTTGCTTGGAAGCTACCCTGTGGTAAACATACAACAAGATGTGGAAAACCCTGTGGAAAACCCCAAGGTTTCCCGTTCGGAAAATCATCTACATTCATGGTGGGATGATGGCTGGGCTTGTCTCAAAACGGTGGGATCTGACCCAAATTTATGGCTGGCCATTTAAGGCCATGTCAATTTGTGTTTTTTCATGGGGAAAAAAGTTGTGTTCCGCATGGCAATTTGATGCAATTTGGGCTTCCAAATTTTGAGACAACGCCATCTCATTATCCAATGAACTACATTTCTACAGTATCCTGGCAATGGGAATTCCTGACTTCGGAAAATCATCCATGGATCGATCGGAATTCGAAAAACCCTCTGGCAATTTTTAACAGTTCGCTATTGAAAACGGCACATAGAAATAGTATGAAATAGTTTATTGATGTTATGAAATAACTTATTTACTCTTCAAATAGCTATTTTTTACATGGCACATAGAAATAGTAAAATCACATATTTTCCCATTTGCCTATCAAAAATTGTGATTTTCCCATAGTTGATTTACCTCAACATGGTGGATTTTCCACTTCCAAAAAACCCACCTGATGGCCACGATGGGAGACTCCGCCACCACACCGCCCACATCAAAAATCACCACCTCACGTCGTCGCGAAACGTCGGCCGTAATACGCGCGACGCCACGAGCTACAGGGTTTGCGAACTGGAAGCCATGGCCCAGTCGAAATAGTGAATTTTCCCAGCTAGAACATGGTGGATCTTTCCATAGTTATGGGACAGTACAACAACTCTGACTCTGGAAACTCGACTGATGACTAATCACTGATCATCTACTTGTTGGTGAAGAAAAATGGTGAAGGAAAATCAAATATTCAGGACATGGTCAATCTTTGATAGTCACAAAAATGGTCATCTTTTGCTGCTTATGGTTATTTTCCATTTATCGCAAAAAACTACCCTCTGGTAAACTAATATAACTATGGAAAATCACCATTTTCTAGCTGGGTAAATCCACTATAAATTGCCATGTTCAATAGCTTTTTGTATTTTGTTTACCAGGCCGGCTCAAGGATTTTCCACTATCCATCCAGTTGGTTGGCAACCACGACAAGGACAAGGACACGAACAAATGACTAGTTGGTGGTTGAGCCCTACCCCTCTGAAAAATGATGGAGTGAAAGTCAGATTGGATCATCATCCCAACTATTGCAAGGTTTAATAAAATTCATGTCCCAAACCACCAATCAGTTATTATACCAGTTGTAACTATGGAAAATCAACATGCTATCAATGGGTAAATCACCAAATTCATGTCCCAAACCACCAATCAGTGTTTGTTGGTTTATAAATTTTATAAACCATGAAAAAAAAACATTAACATCCATGAATACTAGTTCGTTTCTACCATAAACCATAGTTCATTCATCCACATTTCCAGTCACCGCCAACCACATTAATCATCATCATTAACCACATATAACTATAGATTATTACTATTGATCATTATTAGTTAACCATGTTAACCTACTATATAACCATTATGACTAGATTAACTAGTTCGTTATATCTACCATAAACCAAGTTAACTAGTTCGGTGAATCAGAAAATGATGGTTTTCCCAAAGGAAAATGGGGGATCCCACCGTGGGGAAAAGCGGAAAACCCCGGTGACAGGCGGCCCCGACTCTCCGCGGCGGCAAGGCCATGGCAGTCATGGCAGTCATGGTATGTCAGTGCTGGTAATCCAAGCATCAAAATTAATGGCTACCCTCTGGTGAACTAACATAGCAATGGAAAATGGCCATTTATAGTGGATTTTCCCAGCTAGAAAATGGTGATTTTCCATTGCTATGTTAGTTCACCAGAGGGTAGTATCACTAGCAATTTTTCACAAACATTTAAATGTGGTTAAAACGATGCCTGCCATTTTTAGATATTTTTTACAACTGCATTTGACTATCCAGGGATGTTTTGTTATAGATATAGCAGCTATATATAAAAATGGTGATGACTGGGGGATGGTAAAAATGGCATTGTTTTAACATGTTTTAAACACATTACTCAACCAATACAGTAGCTCAGTAGCAGAATGGTTCTCACTGAGACTTAAGTGTTTTTTATTGTTCTTTATCCTTCATCTCTCGAGTCCCTGCATTCCGATAACTTCCGGCTTGGCGCAGCTTGTCCCAAGAATCTGTCAGGGTATCACTGAGTCCTTGAGCTTCCTTGAGTATTCAAAGCCTCCCTTTCTGATGTATTACCTGTTAAACATGCAAAAACACTGCATGCTCCATAGGTAAGAACTCAAGGCGTCGATTCAGAATATCCCAAGATATCCCAAGTCTCATGTCAGGCAATCCTGCCAGTTTTCTCATTAAAAGGGCGCCTTTTTCATCGTGTGCCCAATCATCAAAAGCTGAGTTGCTGGACATCCTACCATAAATCAGATACAAGTACCCTGGTAAACGTTAACAAAGAGCGACATTCAATAGATGGCCCAGTCGAAATAGTTGATTTACCCAGCTTGAAAATGGTGATGTTCCATAGTTTTTTCTGGTTGGTGGTGCAATAACCATCTTGAAAAAGATGAGTTCGTCAATGGGAAGGATGACATCCCATATATGAAATGGAAAATAATCCATTCATGTTTGAAACCACCAAGCAGTTTTTTGATGTTTTTTGTATGTTTACCAGGCCGGGTAAATCAAAGAACAAGGAATCTTTGGACCTGGGCGACGGTCAGTTTGGGTTGCCCATGACCCCACCATCATCACCATCCCCATATTGGAAAAGACACCACACCAGCATCCCTTACCCGGCCTGGTAAACGTTTACATAGCCATGGTATAGATGGACCATAGAAATAGTTGATTTGCCCAGCTACATAGCATAGTGATTATCTATAGTTATGTAACAAATTACCAGAGGGTAACGAAGTTGTTTTTATTTCTGTTGCTTTGAAGACCTATTCCGAACAACGACCATTGCTCCAAAAACCACAGAACTGTTCAACGCCTCAGGTTCACCAGTCACCAGCTGGACTTTCCCCCGAAAATTCCTTCGTCAAATCCCCCAGTTTTTCATCCACCAAACTTGTTGACCCCGATTCTGGAGACCCCTTCAGCCTAAAATCAAACTTCATCGCTAAATCATCTACCCTCTGGTAAACATACCCAAAACTATGGAAAATCACCACTATTAATGGGTAAATCAACTATTTCGACTGGGCCATTAGCTAATGTTAAATTACCGGAGGGTACATTGCCCCATGTTTCTTGGTAAATCATATTTTCTGGTTGGTGGTTTCAACCCCTCTGAAAAAAATGGTTTCGTCAGATTGGATCATCATCCCAACTATTGGGGTTTCAATAAAATTCATGTTCCAAACCACCAATCAGTTATTATACCAGTTGTAACTATGGAAAATCACCATGCTATCAATGGGTAAATCACGATTTTCAATGGGTAAATCACCATTTTCAATGGGTAAATCACGATTTTCAATGGGTAAATCACCATTTTCACAGGGTAAATCACGATTTTCACAGGGTAAATCACCATTTTCAATGGGTAAATCACGATTTTCACAGGGTAAATCACCATTTTCAATGGGTAAATCACGATTTTCAAAGGGTAAATCACCATTTTCAATGGGTAAATCACGATTTTCACAGGGTAAATCACCATTTTCAATGGGTAAATCACGATTTTCACAGGGTAAATCACCATTTTCAATGGGTAAATCACAATTTTCAATGGGTAAATCACCATTTTCAATGGGTAAATCACGATTTTCACAGGGTAAATCACCATTTTCAATGGGTAAATCACAATTTTCAATGGGTAAATCACCATTTTCAATGGGTAAATCACGATTTTCACAGGGTAAATCACAATTTTCAATGGGTAAATCACAATTTTCAATGGGTAAATCACGATTTTCAATGGGTAAATCACCATTTTCAATGGGTAAATCACGATTTTCAATGAGTAAATCACCATTTTCACAGGGTAAATCACGATTTTCACAGGGTAAATCACCATTTTCAATGGGTAAATCACGATTTTCACAGGGTAAATCACCATTTTCAATGGGTAAATCACGATTTTCACAGGGTAAATCACCATTTTCAATGGGTAAATCACGATTTTCACAGAGTAAATCACCATTTTCAATGGGTAAATCACGATTTTCACAGGGTAAATCACCATTTTCAATGGGTAAATCACGATTTTCACAGGGTAAATCACCATTTTCAATGGGTAAATCACGATTTTCACAGGGTAAATCACGATTTTCACAGGGTAAATCACCATTTTCAATGGTAAATCACCATTTTCAATGGGTAAATCATAGGTTTTTCCCCATGTGACTTGGCCACATCCCGCACTCGACCCACGACTTCTACGACTTCCAGGACTTCACCTGGTCGGCTCAGGATGGACCGAGGAGGCGCCATGAACTCCGAGCGCAAGAACTCCACAGTCCCCTGGCGATGGCGAGGGCATGGTGAACTCAGCAGATTTTTTCATATTGGAATTGGGACATGATTCTAAAAATCTGGTAAATATTCCACTAACTAATTGATATTTCATATCCACTGTAGTTCATTGGATACCCTCTGGTAATTTAACGTAGCTATGGAAAGATCCACCATTTTCTAGCTGGGAAAATCCACTATTTCGACTGGGCCATTTTCAATAGCGAACTGTTAAATTACCAGAGGGTATATGAAAATAGTAAAAATAACTATTGAAATATTTATTGAATATGTTCCCATATATGGAAATCCAATGAGTTATACTTGGAATATTGATTGGATTTATTGAATATTTTCCCAAGTGATATTCCAAAAATAGTTAGTGGATTGGGACATTAGTTAGTGGATTATGATACTGTGTATCCTAAATAGTTAGAACTGTGTATGATATTGAACTGTGGGGGATATTCATGATATTCCAAAAATAGTTAGTGGATTGGGACATGATTTTTTGGAAAATTCCCACCTATTCAAAAAATATTGCCTGGAATTGATATTCCAAAAAGAACTCAGCAGATTTTTTGGGCCCCTTTTCTCTGCTGAATTTGGAACTGAGGAACTGAATGGAAAAGATTCATTTATTCATCATGATTTATTCCGGAAAAATATTGCCTGGAATTGATATACCAAAAAAGTTGGCAGATTTTTGGGCCCCTTTTCCATGCTGAGATGAAGGACATGGAACTGATTTGAATGGATTTTTTCTATTCATCATGTGTTGTTCCACTTGGAAAAATATTGCCTGGAATTGATATAAACCACTTAAGCAGTTCCCCTTTTCATTTATCCACTTGGAATTGGAACTGTGGCACTTAAGCAGTGCTTCAGGGAATAAAATGGGCGAGCTGTAAATTGTTCAAGGAAAAAATTGACGTTGAGCGGTTGGGCGACCAAACCCAGGCGGGAACCGGTCAAAAAGAGGTTTTGTAAACGATCAAGGCATGAATTCACTTGCAAGAACTATCATCGTTAAAGCCTAACAAAATCCGTCTTTTTCCCAGAAGAAAATCATGACAATCAGCATCAAGGCCTTGGGAATATATAATATGTACAGAATACAACATTATCTATATGTATATATATATATATGACTTTGTCCAACAATTACCCCAAAATTGAGTGGAAATTCATCATATTCCCTGTCTAAATCAAGTAAAATTGCTCTTTGGGGTTGTTATACCTCATTTTCAGACTCACATTCATATATATCCCATATCTCTATAATAAGATGTCCATACCATTCCATACCAATGACAGACTAAAATTCTAAAAGGAACGGTCACCTTTTCGTCAGGCTTGGAACAAATGTCCAACCGCAAAGGCAGTCTTTCAAAGCGCAAAAAAAAGGCATGTAAGGATTAGTAAGGATCCCTTGACATTTGTTGACTGTGACTTTGGTTGACATTTAAAGCTGTTACGACTCTTTCACATGCATTGACTCTCATTGCTAGTTCCTCAGGTTCACCTAAGTTTGGTGCCAAATCTCTTTGGCCCAGCATTCTCGTGGCATCAGGTGTGACCTCCGACTTCCGGACCTTCACGACGATGTAGGTGATGTCCTGCCCGATGGAGCAGGATGTGATGGGTCCGGTGTTGCATAACTCAGCCCGGGAAGAAGTTGGGTCTGAAAATGTGTACCCTCAAATGGCATCAAATGGCAATGTTCATAGGGGAAATGACGAAGCATGAAGTTGATGGGTATCCTATTTCAGACAAACCCTAGTGTTGAATTCCAATAATTCTTGGAACTGGCGACGAGACAGCGCCCCTTTAGCAAGCCTCGGCTTGCTCGTTTTGTTTCAAGAACACGTGGCCCTTGCAAAAAACTGCCTGGTCTCGAGTCACGACACGGCATGTCTGGGTGATCTTGGGGGAAATCCATCTGAGGAATCTGGGCACATGGTGAAACCTGGCTGATGAATTTGAAGGCGCCGCGAAAAAGCAGTTTCTTCATCCTTGGTTGACATTCTCAGTCCAATCTTCACATCCCAGACTTTTCCAGAGGCCGGCAGGACCCTTTCAAAAGGTCAATGGAATAGTCGGTCAGATTTGGGTCATCTGTGACCCACGTCAAAGGTCAACTGAGTTGACGTCAGAAGCTCAACTTTCAACATCACCATCCTCAGTTGAAAACCTTGGTATGTCCTTTCTTTATATATATATATGTATGTATATGAATATAT